AGCCCATAAGAGCCCGCACCGATAGATATAAGAATAGCACCATCCCATCTATTGTTAAAATAATAAACAACTCCTGATTTATGTACTGTACAGCCCTGTAAATGCATTGAACGCATATCATTATGTCTAAATCACATGTAAGTTTGTATATTTTCAGCCACTGGCTGCAACTCTATTAATAAACCGTTTATTATTATTATTATTATTATATATATACATACATACATACATACATACATACACCCACTCACACACACATACACAAAACAACTGACATCATTCTCCATCTTACGAGAAATTAACCTAAGAGGAGAAATATGGAGCAGAATCTCAGTACAGTACAATATAATATACCATACACTGTCCACATCCATTTAACCCTTCTTCCTGCTGAGTGTTACTGGTTTATGTGGGACAGCTAAGTGTGGCGCATCTCTCACATCACAACACCTCACATCAATTCACACCCTCATCACATCACATCACATCAATTCACACCCTCATCACATCACAACACATCACACTAATTCACACTCTCATCACAGCACAACACATCACATCAATTCAAACCCTCATCACAGCACAACACATCACATCAATTCACACCCTCATCACAGCACAGCACAACACAACACATCAATTCACACCTTCATCACAGCACAACGCATCACATCAATTCACACCCTCATCACAGCACAACACATCACATCAATTCACACCCTCATCACAACACAACTCTCCTGGTATCTGATTCATGTATGCTAAAAACAAAATAAAAACAATTATCCCGCGTTTAAACTGTGGGCGCATGTCATTCCAGCATATAAGTGCTTCCTTGAGACTGACTAACAGCTGATCCGTATCTGCGTAAAACAAAACGCTAAAATGATTTCTGAGGAGACGGTGAAACTTAATGGTCTAAACTGTACACTTTCCCGTCACCTGGAGATGATTCGTCTTGCATAACGTTCACTCGTTTACACACGGAAGCAATGAACCCTCTACTACAGTTATGTAACTGTTCACCCACCGTCAACAAGGGGGGGAAGGGGTGAGGGCGGGGGGTGGAGGAAGGAGGGGGAGAGAAGGAGGGTGAAGGTTGGGGTGGAGAAGGGAGGTGAGGGGTAGAAAGGGGATTGGTGAGGGGAGTGAGGTTGAGGAGAGGGGGGTGAGGGTAAGGAGGGGGAAGGAAAGAGAGGGGGTTGAAGGTAAGAGAGGGGGTTGAAGGAGAGGGGTTGAAGGTAAGAGAGGGGGGGTTGAAGGTAAGAGAGGGGGGTGAAGGTAAGAGAGAGGGGGTGAGGGTATGAGAGGGTGAAAAGTGTTAAGTTAGGTTAGGTTAATATTCAGGTGAAATAAACTGGAATGGAGTCTTCAATTAATCCTGTGGGCTTTTTTATATATATTTGAAAGTTCAAAACTGGTTTCTAAATTTCCAAGAAGAATATTACCAACATTTCTGGCAAGCCTTTTGTTAAGTACAGTATTACCATAACTAAATAGGTTGATGACGTTTTATAATGTTCCTACTGTAACAACAAAACATATCGCTGTCAATCAAGGAGCTAGTCACTCATCACCTGTGTGGGGACAGAATGGCTCACTAATTTCCTGGTTTTGTTTGTTTTTTTCATCGCCCTTTTTTCCAGTAGGGTCCTTTTAATTTATATGCCATGAAAGTACTAACCACACCCAACGCTGCTTAAATTCGCTGATCGGACGAGAGGCACACAACATACAAACGACATACCCTGTACGTGTTATAACCAAATGAAGACAAAGAAACGGTTCCACATGAGCTCTGCAAAAATCTTTAAATCAGTGTGTCTACATTTTTTTTTTTGAAACATCCTGTATTCATCTACACTATTATCTTTACGCTTCTCCCACACGCAGGGCGGATCATGTGAATCAGATACAGTACCTACATTAAGAAAGTGAGGAAATGCAGATACGTACCTGTAGAAAGTGAGGATACAATCAGGAGAAAAGTATAGTATAGAACATTACACACACACACTACCTCATAACTATCATCTAAAAGCAATAAAGCAAACAAAGTGATTCATTACTTTCCACGGTGTTATATCTCTTAACAATTCACTACACATACGGCATTACTGCACCACATACTAAATGACTTCAATATATGCAGTTCACAATCATTCTTCAAGCTTTATCCATTTTGACAGCTCTTGATTGCACTAATTCACCGACAGTACTGCAGGTAAATTTGGTCCACAAATTGTAAAGTCATGTAATTTCTCATTTCCAGGGATACAGGATGTTACTTTCTTTATTTTTTATGTTTTAATATTAAATTCTGTTTTCAGGTGCTGCTACAACTATAGGAGCTTGAAAATTCTCTATGTTATCAACCAGAACATAGGCAGGGCCGGCGCTACCCACTAGGCAAACTAGGCGATCGCCTAGGGCGCCAAAATCTGGGGGCGCCACAAATTCAGGACAAACTTGGATAAAATTAAAAATGAAGGGAAAACTGTGGTGGACACTGTGGTGGAGCCGTGGAGGGTCGGAGCAGGATGTTGTGGGGGGTCGGAGGGAGGCGAGGGTAGGTAGACGGTAGCCGACTGTGTTTTCTTTTTTAATATTATTCGTTAACCCCCCGGAGGGACTAACCCGGGTCCTTATCTTTGGCGGCCTGGAGAACTGTCGAGCAGTGACCTGAAGGCTGACATCTGAGGAACCCTTCTCCCAACCCCACCATCCCCTCCCCTCCCTTACTGCCAGGGCGGCTGAGCCGCCCCTTCCCTGCCTTTGTCGGGATGAGGCAAGGTTACCTGACCTCTGAAGTTTACGTCAAGGATTTATTGACTTAATGTTATAACAATAATTGGTTATTTGCATGGGTGAAGTAATAAAGCCACAAGATGAAAACAATGTAGTCATGGGTTACTGTACCTACATTAGCTTATCAAAACTTTCAAGGGGGCGCACATCTAAAGGCTTGCCTAGGGCGCCAAATCATCTTGCACCGGCCCTGAACATAGGACATAACTTGGTACAGTATTCTCTCCACCAAAGGCAGGTTTAAGATGGTTAAAAACAGGCAATGCACTTCAAGTAAAAATATGCTACATCATGTGAGCCCAAGTTGTGAAACATGATACAAAAGGCACAGTTAATAAATACATTATTCTTAGTAAAGCAACTATACACCACCCTGTAAAAAGCTGCTACAGAGAACCCCTTAGAATAATAAACATAGCTTATTACTTCCTTGCACGAGGCCACTCTGGCTTTAAAGAAGTTAAAACTAGTGAGTATGTATGTGGATTGTGGGATCCTCCAACTGGATCCCACTGGTCCTGCAAGGTCCAAAGGCTGATATAAAAACAAACAAGACAAAATTAGAGATCTTTTCATGTTGAAACTTTCTAAGATCCATCTGGGCTGGATATGTTACCTCCAATAAATCCCAGCACTGGAATCTAAAGCCTAAAGCTTCAAGTTTTGATACAGGAATTCAGGCAAAAAAAAAATACTTTACAACAGGAGACAAATTTCTGTTTCATAAGAGAAGGAACCCAAGCTGTGAAATTTTGGGTTGTTGCTTATATTAGACTGCAGAACTTCTTCCTTCCACAAGGCTACTTTAAATGAATAAAAAAAAAGGACTAAAAACAACAAATACCCTCTTCCGGATGATGATCTACTGTCTGCTGAAACTGCTGCCCTGGAGAGTGTTCCATAAGCACCTTCCACAAGAAATTAACATAATTTCTAAAGGACTTGACCTGGGTCTCCAATGCCAACAACTGATGGGAAGAGTTATTAAGCCTCTCAATGTATCTCCACATCCAGATGCCTTAAATCACTCTCTTCCACCAGAAGATGATGACCTACTTTAACACACAGAGATCTAGCCATTTAACTTGTTTAACCCATACTCAGTGGCTAACTTCCACAGATGATGGCTGTAGTTGAAAATGATTGTATGACAATTGCCAAGCTCAAAGAATACAATGATTTAAAAGTGATAATGAGTAACCTTAAACTTATTACCCATGGAATGTACCAGAAGACACTAAGAGTCAGCAATAACTGAGCAAGATGAGACAGCATTGCCAACCTGGTAGGTGTCAAGAAACAGTGACACTATGCATTTACACCAGTATAGTACTGTATAACCCCAGCTTATAAGTGAAGAGAGCTGTAAGGACAGTACACAGAGCAACTGAATGGATTCTGGCTCCTGGTTTTACTCCTTATTGGATGCTGAGTAAACTACTGTGTGAGAGATATTAATCACAGCAGAATTTTTTTTTTAAACCTGGACATTTGGATACCATTAAACATACGGGCCCCTAGTTTATAGCTGCACTTGCCAGGAGGGGTCTAAAGCTATGGATCTCAAGACTCACTTAACAATAACCCATGGGTAACAAAGTGCAGTATTACAGGACACATATGGTACATCAATAAAAGTAGTAACAAATATACATCAGAAGTAATCCTGAAAAACATAAACAGAAACACTTGGGAGGTCCTGTGAGGTCAACATACACTGTGACACATGCACATCAAGGACGATCAACTCCATGTACCCCACCATCCATTTACATCAGTCTGACTAAAACCCTAACTCTACCTATCCTCATACTGGAAAAAAAAATTACTGACAAACAGCTGTGGCTCCATTCTGTAGCGAGATGATGAACAGCTACACTATAACCTCTGGACATTACCATATGAAAACTGAATCACTTGGCAACATCTAAACTGCATATAAGACCACACACACAAAGTCATGTTCTGTAGACAAATTTTCACTGTTAAAATACTTGCTATTAATATGCATCATCACTGTGCCCATTTTACATGTCTGTATGGGCTAATAACTACAAGATAAAAATAAATCAGACAAAATATAGTGCAAGTAGACAGAAAATTTTTCCTACCTGCTTTCTGTAAAATTCAAGAAATATATTTTTTTACTGGAAAGTACAGTACTCAGACTTATAGATGAGAGGCACACTTACCGGCACACTAGCCCATGGAAATCTCGTGTGAGGGTGAGGAGGAGATATACAATAAACCATTCATCTTCCAGCCTGTCCCCCACCACGGTCACCCCAGCCAGGTGAGGACCCAGCACTCCTATATAAACCAAAGAGAGAAGAATTAATTTATGTGTATTTAAAAGTTGTCATAAATAATTAAATAAAACTACTAACAGCACAATGGATTTTGTTCACAATTACTCATTGTATCAAACTTTATGAATCTGAGTTGCCGATAGCATTTTGCTTATCATAAAACAACAAATAAGCTATTAAATACTATTTTCCAATCTTCATAAGCTGGACCAATCCTAACTTTATCAAAATAACTCAGTCATTATTTTTATCAAGTGGTTTCAAACACAGATCCACTCAAGTAGCAGATGACTCCTACTGAGGGCCAAAGAATTATACAAATTGTGCAAATTATAGAGAACCCCAACAGATATCATCTTCTTGCAGGCACAGTTATGGAATGTGGAATTTCATAGAGCACTGTACAATACTGTACATGGTTTCTAATGGTCATTAATCTTAATTTAATACTACAGGTATTCTTTTAACCAGCTAAGATATAAATTGTAATGCAATTGTCAAATGAAACCAAGTTACTGCAGATATACGACAAGTAAACAAAGAGACCCTGCTTTGGATATATCCATGGAACTTTTGAAGACAGATGTGCTCTATCCTTCCACCAGCTTAAGTGTCTCTGAACAGCTGCGAGAACTATATAACCTGTTTCCAAATTACACCTCAAAGGTTAGTCTCATTCTCATAACTCCAGTACAGTATTAGCCTTAAGAAAAGTCTCCGGAATTTGACCACTGGAGTTGCAAAATCTGGCTTTCCCTAAACCAGCTCTCCCAGGTTGTGAGTGAACATTTGAGTGTGAAGTGCATGATGACTTCTTAAGATTCATTGTGCCCTTTATGTTTTTAATCGAGATATTTCATGAAGAACACTGTAGGGCTCCAATTAAAGCTGGGAGGATGATGATTTTCCAGCTACAGTTCAACCTCCATTTAACGGATAGCAATCTAACGGGTATAGTCTGTTATATGGAGGTTTCACATCTCACAAACCTCGATATAACGGATCCCATTCTACCATATCGTCCGATAAATAGAGGTCTCACTGTATATAAACATCACTCTTTCAAGGTGTTGCATATAGCTTCGAACACTAAATTAAAGCCGACATAATTCTAACATGTGTCATCACCCAACAAGATCATGGTCACAACAGCTACCTGAAAGTCTACTGTACATCCTACGCCCACAGCCTACCTGAGGCGCCGTCACATGGTGCTTTCTTCCGTACCCTAAGTGTGAATGACTGATTGTTCCATATATACTGGTGGGTGTCTTGAGCAACATGAGCAAGCAGTTTGGCAGCCAGTTCTTCTAGTTTTGTTTCGTCCACTACAGGGGAGCCGTCCTCGTGGTGTGGGAAGAGCCAGTACCGTATAGTTTCCTCTCTTTCCATGAGCTTCTGATTGAATATACTACAAGCCATTTCAGATCTGTAAAATATAAAACAAATTAATCATCACAAAAAGGAGATTACACACTAATATTTTTGGGATCATCTGAAGATTCTCCACCCCAGCTTATTTCACCTAGAGATTAACTGCCCTCATCTAATCTAACTTAGCATTTTTTCTAATGATATTATTAAAGTTTAAAAACAATTTGAGTACATTACAACAAAAAATTAGAGATGAACAATTTTAACAATACTGTATTGTAATGTAAAGGGAAAACAATACAATACAGTACAGGTAATATTTACTGTGCCATATTCACATGTCATGAGGTTAAACTAGACAAGGCATAATAATGAAATTTCAATACAGTACAACAAAACATTACCCCAAACTAACGTTGCACATAAAAAAATTTTGCTTTGACCATAACTATATATACAGTATACTGTATATATAAAACAGAGGTACTTTTATATTTATCTCAAACTTTATTATTCAAATTCTCGCAACTTCGGACATACAATACCTCACTGTTATAACTGACGATAGATAACTATGACATGTAGAGTACTGTATATGTTTTGTACAGTACAGGTAGCTAGACATGTAAAGTGAAACCTCTATTTAACGGACTATTAGGAGAAGAAAGTCCGTTATATTGAGGGTCTGTTAGATGTAACCCCCCACTCTAATGGATTACATGGGGAGAGAAGTCCATTATATAGAAGTTCAAGTGTATTGTATTGTACAGTATAAACCATCTTTTAAAACAGACAAAACAAACCAACTAACTTACCTCACATAACCCAATTAATCTATATAAACACCATCCAATTAACACAGGTAATGGTAGGTAGGTTAGGTGGGTTTAGTCAATTTATTTTCCCTCGTAAAAGATACTGTATATACGGTCACCACGATGGAAATAATATAACACCGATCTAAATTATGGTTAGGTTCATTTAGGTTAGATTACCAATAGATTAGGTTTAGGTTAGGTTAGGTTTGCATAAGGGTGGTAATCTTCAGGTGAAACAAACTGGGATGGATATTCTTCATTTCCTAGACTCCAAATGCCATATCAATAATAAAAAATAACTATCCATCTATAAGCAAAGATCACAATAAAAATATAAAGACTTTGATCCTAAAAAACAAAAAGCTTTAATCATGTACCAAGGTTTTTTTTTTTCAGGTAATAATTTATACAACCAAACTAAGAGTCACTGTAATCCAAGTCTACTGTAAATGTAACTTTAAAATCTTTCAAAATGTAAGGAAATGAAACAGCCAGAAGCATAGCAAAATATCCATACAAATGACTTCTATCCCCATACAATCCGTTTGAGGGAGGTTTCCTATGTAACGGACCCTTGATATAATGGACCTTCATCTCTATATAGTCTGTTAAATAGAGGTTTCACTGCACTCTCTTTAGAAGCAAATAACCATCACATAATCACCTTATACAGTATTCAATTATAAACTGTCAATACTACTGTATTCCGTATAAATCACTGTTTTCTGCTACATTTTTCACCACCACAACAACTACAGTACAACAATGATGACAATAATGCCCCATTTAAACTGTTCAGTATGTCCCTAAGTCAGGTCAACCTATTTCTTAGCTACACCATGGCTTTACCCCCTACTCTAAATCTAGTTGACATCCCTAAGTCCCATCATCATCAACGTCAACATTTTACGACCATTTTCAACGCCTTCCAGCAAGTGTGTTAACCATGATTATCTGAAGGCAGTCTGACTGGTCTAATCTACATGTGGAAAGTTAAAAAACGGAAACCGACGCGCTGGTGACCAAAGTGTGGCTTTTTATCTTTTGTAGGTAATTCAGGAACAAATAATTCTTCACATGATTGCACTAAACACCCGAAACAGATAATCAACTATGTGAGGTAAATGATCCCCAAAGAATGATAACAATATGAGACTGGTTATTATACCACAAAATGGCTTCAATCACTTAAGCATTATACATGTTGCCAATAAATGTCCTGGTTAGTTAATGTGGTTAGAACTCACTGATGAAATAAATAAAAAATTAATAGCAGAAACGTCACACAAGCCAAGAAGTAAAATGTATTACTGTATTTGTACTTGAATTGGTTTTCGCAGTAAATTTATAAAACATAATGCCAAGACAACTGAGTGTACGGTCATAGGCAGATCCAGGTTTAAAAATGAGTGTTCTTAGACTAATGTATGTGTGCAATATTTGGTAAAATTATCATTTCGGTCATCCACCTAATTGCTAGTGGGTCAGAATCGTGCAAAACATCAAAAACCATAGGAAAAACATATTTTCAACGTCACCTAACCTACCCAAACCAAACCAAACCAAACCAAACCTAACCTAACCTAACCCTTTCTCGGACGGTGGTAACTTAAAATCCTAAAATTCGCTGGATGACCAAAGCGATAATAATACCCAATATCTGAAAGTGTAATGATTCTGATAAATTAGTTTAGATATAAAAAAAAACCAGATTCTGAAGTAACAACAGAAGGTACATATCGATTTACTTTAGCACTGTAGGTTAATTTATCCCTATTATTTTTTTAGACATCTTCACCAGCATATTTGAGTTTTATTATAATGCATGTAAATCTGATGAGGGAACTAAGAAAAGCATATTTGAAAACTATTTAAGGCACTGTACACTAGAATAAACAGAGCCTAAACCAAGAACCTAAAGTGTATACAGTATAATTCTGATTAGGCTGATGGTTCTTTTCAAGGGTTTTCAAATCCGTCTTTTCTGTTCCCACTCCAGAGTTGTATTCACTGCATCAAAATAAACATTATTAATATAGTTCCTGTCAAAATATTAAAAGAAATAAAACCATAAAGGGAAACTGAACTTTCATTAGCGAGGTGTATCTAAAGATGAAGGTAGAAGGCGGGACCAAGGAATAAAAGATCTAGCTGGCATTGGCAAAATTAAAGGAAAATTCTAGATGACACTTGGATTTATTATTCCATTTCTTGAAAAATATCTGTATAGGTATTCATTCAGTCCAGACAAACTCACGGGCCTACGAAAATACCATCCCACTCAGATTTCATTCTACCTATCGTCCATAAATATATGCTTCAGACACAGCATATACGTTAAAAAATACATATAAAAATGAACCCATACATGAGGGAAAGTCAAATAAACATACATATATATATTGGTGCTGACCGTCGCCCACCACAAAACACCAACACATGAGGAAGACCAAGACAAGAAATGTATTATTTTTGTTTTATTTGTTCTATGTACCTAATTACTGTGTCTGTTATACATTATTAATCACAAAGAAGCTTAGAACTAGATAATACCTTTCTCAGAAGCGTTGGTTCCTTCACAAATATAAATTATCTTAAATAACTAACCTTGGGAGTTGGCGCGCGTCCGTCACTGAACAAACGTAAACAAAATATATCGCCGCAAATAATTATCTTAACATTATGTCACAATATTTTCATATATCCTAAGGTAATTTATCGTTGAATTTAAAAACATAACTATTATTTTAATTAAATTATCCTGTTATGCAATATAATATACACGTTATAAGATAAATATCTATACTGGTAGTGTTTTAGAAAGCCACGCCAATCATGGGAATGTTTCAACATGATTTATTGCATGAAAACTGGGAGTCATTCACGATTTTTTTACTATTTTTCTAGTTATAAATGACATCTATGAGTGCATATCTATCGTACGGCAAAACCTTTAAAACTCTTGTATTGTCGTATGATCTGTTATGGGGGTTTTGTCTCTATAACGAATTAGCATTAATAATTCGTTATAATTTTGTTAATTGGTAAAGTTGCCATGGGTCGACGATGGTTCAAAACATTACTAAATGTACTTAGTTGATGTATTAGTGCACTTGTAGGAAACTTTCTAGCTACCTGTTTGTCCCAACAGCGTCGTTATTGATCAATGAGTCATCCTTGAGTCTGTGTGTTGTTGGAGGTTGTCTATTGACAGTTTACCCGCCTTTTTTTTTCTTCTTTTCTCTCATTAGTTTTCACACATTCATATGTCTCACTTTTCACATCATCTTATAACAGACATTACCTATGTCTATATTGCTTACCTTAGATACCGCCCGTCACGACTTACTCAGTCCCCCCTGTAACACCGGCCAGAGAGAGGCGATTTTTTTTTAAGTTCCTGGCAGTCGGACAATCGAGGGAATAGTGTTGATGAGCATTAGCTGTGACACTACTACAGTTTGTAGGGAAAGGAAGAGCGGGACATCCTCTGCCTCAAACCTGCCAGATACATGATCTGTTTTCTTAACTCCCACATTAAAAATGCGAACTGATACAACAGTATATTGTCTGCAAACTAAAGTCAATGTTAATAACGATACTTATATGGCAAGAATCACTATCCAATCCTGAACTTCAATGCAATTAGGGAAAGTTTTAAGAAAAAGCTTGGCACCGTTAACAAATCAAATAATTGTCAATGTGTTTTAAATAGCAATTAAACTCCAGTTAGAAATCTGTGTCTCTGTTTAGTTTTGCTTCAGGTAAGTTCCTCATATCTATAATTTCTATTGAGAATCTAAGCCATCGCCATCTCACTATACATTTTTCCTACCATTTTAGCAGTCCTAGAGCCAACTCAACATCCTTATTAACAGCTCTAGAAATTTCTCATATGGGTGTGGCAGCATGGTCACTACCACTTAAGTGATGGCGATTAGTGATAGCGGAGATATGCGTTTCAATGTATAAGTTCTCATGGCTGGTGGTGTTGTGGTCTCGCCTTGGATTCGACACATTCCCAAGTATCAAGGTTCGAATCCTAACCAAATTATTCTATAAAATATCTATTACACGAGAGTTTAAGAGTTTCTGTAGGCTAAAAGGTTGTGTTGGGCCGTGAAATGTACAATCAAATACAAAAGTTGTGTCGCGGTTTTTTCCGAAGATTAATAAAACTTGTGAAACATCTTGAGAGCCTCCTACCACAAGGCAGGGTACACCAAAAGTTTAGTCCTTCGGTATATATTTTCACCAAATTTCACTACACGACTTTTGTCTTTGATTGTTGGCACACACCCAGCACATACTATACTCGCCTACGTCACAATTGTATCCCCACCTGATAGTCTCAAAGGCAATATAATAATTTAATACACATATAGCAAACCATATGGCATACTATAGTGATTTTAATAGTCTATTATTTTTATTATTATTATCACACTGTAGGCTATATAGTTAAGATTTGCAAGTCACTTAGTAAAAAAACCGGAAATACGTACAGTACTTTCATATTGCAACAAATTTAAAGTACAGTACAGTACACTGAGCACAGTACACAATCAAGAAATACAGTATATACAAGCTTAGTTGCCGTGTGAGCTGGTACTTCTACTTATACACTTAACTGCTACCCAAAGTCCACTGTCACTCCGCCCGCGCTCACCTGACTAGAGCCCTCTGTCACACAGCTCCGCCTCTCATACTAATGATCAGTGGCAGTGCCACTTGAATCATTAATAATGTTGTTAAGAAAGTAGTCAAATTACGTATATAATAGTTATGGGCGAAGTATAAAGTAATTCACTGAATATTATGAAGTTATATTGTTAATTATGAAAGCCTTTAAGTTACTTAAAAGATTATACTTGTCGTTCAACCATTTGTTAACCTACTGAACAAACTACTTTTCGGCTGGTTTGCCAGGTTGCGAAATAACTAATCGGGCACAGGTTATGAATTCCGTTACCGCTCCGTTAATATACAGTGCATTATTGAAAGTTCTACCCATCATAATTTTTAATTGTTAATGGACCAGTGTAATTACTAATCAATGACCTTGTTGCGAGCTTAAGAAGCTTGGTTGTTAGAGCGCAGCAATATTACATTAATTGATACCGGTACCACAGATCGGCTTGTTAAATGATTCTATTTGGCCAACTCTAACATTGTGCATGTGTGTGCATTCCCGGCAGCCGTTCGTGCATGGCCGACACTGGAGATTTTTTTAGGTAAAAATAGCGGGTCCTGGGAAGAGGGGTTTACTTGCCTGTGGCTTTGGCACCGATATATATATATATATATATATATATATATATATATATATATATATATATATATATATATATATATATATATATATATATATATATATATATGTGTGTGTGTGTGTGTGTGTGTGTGTGTGAAACTAACAAAAGCCACAGTAAATGCAAGGTACAGTATACTAATAAAAAAGAGCTCAAAAAGTTTTATTTTCAAGCATTAAAAGTTCAATATGAGCTTTTGTGGCTATACAGACATCAAAATGGTATTCTGTTTTTCTCCATATATTTTGTAGATCGTAATGATCTTTTTTTGACAGCCATATGTATCTTCATCAAGTTTTCCAAAGTTGCTGTCACCTTTGGAATAAACACTTTATTTTCACAATGAGGTTACAACATTCCTGAATGAACTATTGCCTGATCATTGGATCGGATGTGGGAAACCCATTCCTTGGCTGGCTCGTTCAACCCCTTGGCGCTTTCCTCTGGGGCTTAGTCAAAAATTAAGTTTTTGTTCCAGCAATGTTATGATAGTAAATAATGTCGCATTCATTTACACTGTGGCAAAAACACAGTTATACAGTACATTACCTACTGTATTTGGAAAAAAAATAATTTGCATTTATGGCATATTCCCTACAGACATTAGTTTCATGAAGGAGCAATTGAGAGAAACAAAATCTGTCTCAACTCCTTCAAATATAAATGTCTGTTCCACATCACACATCACAGCTGTTTTATTGAGAACCGTGATTATGATGCCAACCAAGCCTTCAGGCAGGGAAACTGAGAAACAAAAGCAGTGTAATCTAACAAACAAATAAGAAAATAGAGGCACAAATAACTGGAAAGTACCTGGTTTAAAGACATTTTCATCTGATTAAGGAAATGTTTGAGTAATCAGAGTTCTTCTTTAACCGGTCAAAAAAAAAAACTTTAATATGCTCCAAATATTGTTAAGCCTCACTTAATTTAGTGTAGTTATTTGAATGGTAAAATTTAATGCTAGCCCTCCAAATTTGTAATTGTATCACTAAGACACAACTCCAGGTGACTGATCAGAAGAGAGTTGTGTGGACAATAACCAACTTTAAAAAATTTGATTACACTAATGAACAATTTGCTAAATATAAAATGTTTAGATTTGAAGATATATACACTTACTGTTGTGCTCTGTTTATAAATCACTTAATCACTTGGTTGAGAATAATTATTTTCAGTTCTGGAATAACCAGTGGTACAACTTACACACCAAGACCTACTAAGACCATCTCCAAGCGCTCCTCTCAGTCCCAGACCTACATAAAATATCATAGCGTGAAAGTATGGAACAACTTACCCCCACCCATCCGAGCAAAGACTACGCTCCCTTTCTTTAAATCACCTCTTCAAAAGTATCTATTGTCCAAGTATTAATATTTTTGTAACACTTACCTTACCATCAAAACCATTATGTCATACATTGTTACATAGATAGAAATTACTGTACCATTGTAATGATTATATATTTGCAGTCAAGCCATTATCCTGACTATGCCTGTCCCCTTGTTTCCACCTAAACATAACCCATGTTGTATTGCTTCCCTCACCTATCAGATTAATGTATAGCAACTGTACAGTACTGTAAAATATGTATATAAAATACTTATAATATTGTATAAATGAAAAAATATATAATAAAAAGTGATAATTATGGTAACATTCTCATATATATTTACTAACACCATATTACATATGCTAATCCAGATGATACTAAAATAATGTTATACAGGGGTGCATAATAATTCCCGAGAGAAATGTACAGTACAGTATATAGTATATCAGGTGACACTAACAGACCCCAGGCAATATTGATATTATTGTTCTCTCTGTATCTGTATTTTTGGGGGTAAATAAACTGTTTCAATATCAAGAGCAGCAGCTATGTGTGTGGGCTTGATAACATTGTCAGCCTAGCAGTTTATCATACCGATACATGTATCTAGCCATTTGTCAAAAAAAGTGTAATGTGTAAAGACAGCAAAAGTTGAAAACATACAGTGAAGCCCAACCTACAATATGCATATACAGTAGAATATCCTCCTAATTTTTTATTTTTTTAAATTCAGAATCTTTCGTAGAAAATTATATGCATTGTTTAGATGAAATGGGGAATTATATATTAGATTGGACAAGCAGATGGACAGGAAAAACATGACAAAATTTTTTTTCCCCAGCCTATGTTAGGCATAAAAGTAAAGACTGTGATTGCCACATATGTAATGCAGTACAATACTGAATACAGTATACAGTACAAGTATAAATTAATAAAATATAGAGTACCATAAGGAAACAAAAGTGCTTAGACATATTTCTTGATAACTTTAATATTATACTTTTCAAGGAGATAAAAATAATTTCAGTCAACAATGACAGCAGAGAAGGAACACCTTTTTCATTTAAATTTATTAAATGAAAGTAATTCCCCCTCAAAAACCTATTCTGGTTCTTTTAACCATGAAAGATTTTGTATAAACTTATAATAATTATATTTTATATCATATTCCATATCATACCAATAATTAACAGCAATACAAGCATGAGATTGTCTAACATGATGAAACCATAATGAGGGGAGGTAGAGGGCATCCCCCGCGTGGACCCTGCAGAACACTGGACTGGCGTGTTTGTACTGTGGGTACTTCTCCAGGTCGGGCTTCACAGGGTCAATGCAGATCCAAGGTACAGATCCTGTGTTGGTGTCTTCTTGAATGATGAAGCTGCCTGCAGTCGTCTCCTTATATGTTGCTGCAGGATAACTCTTGTAGGGTACCCAGGCTGAGTCCGTAGGAGGAAGAAGGATGAAGTCCTTATAACCAGATACTACGCAGTATATATTCTCATAGTGGTCTTTGTGCACTGTAAGAAAAAATTAATTATAATTTCAGTAAAATTTCTGAATAATCCACTATATATGTCATATTATAAGACACATAAGATTAACTTATTAAATTATACAGTACAACAGAAACATCTGATCAGATGCAATTAAAACACTACAGTTACAGTATAAGATGAATACTATTCATATTTGCTAAACTAAATATGAAACTTCTCTGGGTACCACACACACTAAAGGCACACCTTATCTCTGTACGTATATTTATTCACACTTGTATGTCACTCTCTTTATTATACACTCAATAATAATAATAATAATATGGAAATAATAATAATAATATGTTCTTCACAGCAAATTAGTACTGTAAGGGAAGAACAATCTTCTAACTATTACAGAACAATAATGAGCCCCACTTGATGTAACAGCTCTCTGGTCACCCATCCAGAAATTAACAGCATCTGGATCTTTGCCGAGTGCCTCAGAGAACCATGGAATATCTGGAGATGCATCACAGAGTATCTCAGAAAATTCCTCCGTAAAGTTTGAATTTTGTTTCTGCACATAAAACACCTGAAACAAAAACAAAATTTCATAAATAAAACAGTGAACAGGTATAATAAAGGAGAGCAATGATTTCAGGTCAGCTATGAACTGTTAGGTAGAGTACAGTACAGTGTTTGTGCTGTAACTTGATTCTCGGTGTACTTAGAATTTTCCTACCGTATCATATTTGAGTTTCCTTATTCCAGTTACCTTTCAGTTTAAGACATAAATAATAACAAAAAAGTCTATGTCCTTACTCCTGGTTGGTTCTTTGGATCCTCCATTATATCAAGAAAGTTGGCAAACATCATGGAGCGCTCTTCAGGCATCACAAAATACCCATCACACGGAGCGTCGGCATAACCATTTGGGGTGACGGCCACACTCACTTCTTTGTTGCCAATTTGTTTTCTGTTAGGAGAATATCAAGTGAAAAATAAAAAGGCTGAATCCCACACAAGTGAATAGAACATAGAATACAAATACAGCATATAGGTATAGAACTTCTTTTCAGTGCAGTACGAGTGTTTTTGCTTCAATGTGTTGCCATGCTGAAAGTATGTTTTATACTCATTATCACTTGGAATGAACATCACTGCATCACATCCCCAATAAGCAAAATTCATTCATGGTAAATAGTGTAAACAGTACATCATGAAATAATTTGGTAGAGTTATACAGTACTGTAACTGTTAAGATATACTGTAGCGCCTACCAATAGACACAGACATTAATATTAAAAGCGTCCATCCTCTCCGTTCACCCACACTCTGAGTCAGATAATAAATTTTTTCTTATTATTCTGTACTGTAATTGACACATCACTTTCCTCTCTTAATAGAAGCTAAATCATTAAAGGTACAGTAGAGACATGTGAAGCATCACACAAACAATAAGGAGAAACAGGCAAGTGTAAAAGTGAATGTGGGTCCCATAATTTTGCTGTGTATCTACAATGGACAAGATCTCCTTTCAAACTCTAACAGAGGCTATGGCTGACTGGTAATTCTATCAATAGACCTGGAGACCTACTGTGTCACTTCTTCTGGTGACAATTTATGAACTTGATGTTATTTTACTGACAATACTGAATGAAGGCTAACCATGTCTTCTGATTTCGTTTTGTAATCCTGAAGTCTTACTCATGGAAAGAGAGGAGAATAACAGACTTCTTCATAAAAATGCATAAAGTGAACAAAACCAAATACTGGACTAAAATATTTAAAATTCACTCGACTAACATCCATGTACAGAAATAATGCAACACTCATATTATGAACAGCTTATGTGTATTGGTAAACTTTTGTTGTGTAAGATATCACCCACCAGAAACAAATGGTGTCATGGGAGAAACAAAGCCCTATTCACTGACAGGTTTAATGCACAACAGTAAGAACATGATATGTGATGCAGTACTTCTGCTCATGAAAATCAACTTTAGAATGAATATAGAATAATTTACTCTTAGATGTTGTTTATTGAATGCATAGTTTGTGCTGCAAAACTATACCATACCAGAAGGCTATATGCAACATCAGTTTGAACCTTTTAAGGGCTGAAATACAGTGTACCTGTATAGGGGAAAAACTGCAATAATGGATGGTCTCAGTGGTTTCTGGAACCTAACCATAAATTTCAATACTTTCTCAGATTTGTATTTACATAATTTTGCAATTACAAGACCCCTTTATGGATTCAACCCTTCATAAACTTGAGAATTTACTGTATGCTATTCAGAAGAATCCAACTACAGGTAATTAATGTTATCAGAATACCTGTAATCTATGGGTTGAAACCTTTGATGTCCTTCTCCCTCCAGGTACAGTACTGAGGGGCACCACGTGTAGATTCTTCCCCATATATTTCAGCCATTGTCCATCTCCACACCTTTTAGTATTATAAATATTTATGTTATTTTTAAGTAATTTTCAGATCACCTGAAGATTAGTCCCAGCTTATTTCACCATAAGATTAACTGCCTTAATGCTAACCTGACCTAACATGACCCCCAGGTAACATTAGGGTGTTTAATCAACAAGTGAAATAAACCGGGAGACTAATCTTCAATTGATCCTAAGTTAGTGTCATAATACAGTACCCAAGTTATATTATACCTTTTGGTGTTACCAATAGCTAAGCTATCTAGTGTTAAAATATCAATGTTACCTTAAGTATGGGGTATTGTATTTTTCTGGTTTACCAAGTTTTATATCTGCAAGTCATTTGGATGTTGCCCTGGAACACAACCCCTTACAACTGGGAGTCGACTCTACTAAGGAATTTGAGTGACACTGTTTATTAATAACAATTAGAAGAAATTCATCCTTGGCCCAGAATGATATCAGCCATCACATACTGTAAGCACTGAACTAATGGTTATACTGTAGATGGAAAGTGGCATTACAGATGACAGTAAAGCTGTAGGTATGGAAGTATATTCCTGAAAACACATAACAGTAGATGATAGTAGGAATTAGCATAATAGAAAATAGAAGAAATAAAAAAGAAGAGAGGGATCTGACAAAGAGCTTTACCTAAGAATAAAAAAGAAAGAAGACAAGTCAGTTTCCAACATTTTAAAGTAATACATCAATAATCTTACCGTAGGTAATCATACGACCACTTTCCAATGGCTGGCCATTTTTTAACGGCTCCCCGAAATATTACAGGTTTGTTGGGAGCTATCCATTCTCTGTACAACTCTAATGGTGATGGGATGTCATCTAGGACAGGCACTTCATTGGTGAGGTACAGTTCTGGCAAATAAAAAAGGAAATAAATACAGCTTTAGCATAAATTCAAAATACTATAATGTCAATGCTCATAAGAAGATTTTAGTCTTACAAATAAAACAACTTTATGACTGACACATTCAACTTGTCCTAAGACCAAGGTTAGATTAGTACTGTCTTACTTTATTCACTAGTTTTATCCCCATATCTTAAAACATATGAGTAGAAGCCCTTCTATGTTATGTTTTCCTCTTCTAACAGTACCTCTCCACTTCCCTGGTCTGCTCGTATGGTCTACTCCAAAAAGTTTGTCATGCATAATTTGATAAATCATTCCCATAATCTCTTCATACAGTTTATTATTTTCTAAGTTAGACATTCCTTTATTAATTACTTTCCCAGTCATCTCACTTCTCATCTACCTTCTTTATTTAAACCCAATAACCTTCTTCTCATCCTGTATATAATGTATGAGTTCAATATACTGTACCATTTGTAGATCACCTGCAGATTAGCCCCCCAGCTTATTTAACCCCGTGATTAAACATACTAACACTACAAGAGGTTAGGTTAGGTTAGCATTAGGGTGTTTAATCTAATGTGAAATAAAGTATATGACAACCATTATTATAAAAAAAAAATCTATTGTTCTGACTTACCACTGGCTTCCAAGGACAGTTTGAGAAGACAGTCTCTCACTTTTCCAGTTGGCTCTGGATTGTACACACCGTTCTCCTCTGAAATCATAATATGTATGTCAGGAAATTGAAATAAATTAACATGAATGGCTGTTAGTTATGATCTATACAGTCGTCTGATGAAGAATGTGCAAGTTAAAAATATTATTGTACAGTACGTACTTAAAATTGAAATGTGATATCAGATCAAGGTAAGGATTTTGTCTCTGAGGAATAGAAAATATAATGGATTTCACTTTTAAAATGTTCAGTCTATAATTTCAATGTACAAAATAGAGATAACTGACCTTATTTTGTTACACCTTAACCCATTTCACTGTGGGGATGTCACCAGACAAGTTTATTAAACAGAGAGCAACCCCTGTACACAAGGGGGTAAGTGTATTTTGCTTTCAAGCACCTAATTTCAAGGAACATATACGTGTAATTACTTTTTACATGTGAAAAAAAAAAAAATCTTTACTGCTCACTTATAATTAACCATATAAATATTTTTCACTAATTTAAGCCTTTTCCACTACCGTACAGTATACAGTAATGCAGAGTGGAATAGGGGTGTTGGTGGTACAGTGGTAACGTGCATAACTCTCACCAAAATGTCAAGGGTTCGAGCCTCAGCCTGGACACAAGTAAGAAGGGTGTTATCCAGTGTGACCCTACCAAACACCACAGGTTTCCAGGTCCCCGATTTCCTCCTGTACTAACACAGGATAGACCGCCCAAAAGGCTAGTAAACTGATAAGTGGAGAATATGATAAAAAAAAAAAAAAAAGTATATACCTGTATATACAACATCGTTCAATGCAGACTCCTACAGTTACCATCATTTATTCATGTCTTACTCAGTACTATATTAGTCATTACTGTACATCACATTACAGGTACTGTATTTACAGTACATATATCTACAAGTATTTGGTTTATTCCGGTCACTCCACACATACCATCACCCATCACCAGCAAAGATCATGGCTATCTCACCCCAATTCAGAAGGTGCGGGCATATCAAGCTTTACATGGCAGTCATTTGATTTTTTGGCAATTTTGGTCTTAAAACATCAATATAAAGCATGACAAACAAATTTTTAGTTTCAACACACCCAAATCCTTTGATACCAATAGAGTCTCAACTTTTCTTGAAAAATGCTGCTGTAGATATTTGTTCAACACTCCTGGACAAATAACTCTCAGGTGATATTCATTTGGTATTCTACCGTAGAAGTAGGCACTCAAGGTAACTAACATAAAATTATTATAAAACAGATGTGTAAATACATTAGTTAGGTTAGGTTAGGTTAGGTGAATGATGGATGAATATACACTACAACAATATATGAGTGCCCTAGTTGAACATACCTGGGGAAAATGAGGCAGACTTTATCTGTTCATCCTCAGACATGGCAGGATCTTTCCAGGTATTTGTGCTACAGCAGTTGTTAGTAAATGACTAACTGGGTGTCAAACTTCTTCACTTGGGAGGTAATGGGTGCCTGCAGCATTGAACTTCACTCATTTCAGAATTCAGATTCCTGTACAACAGTGGATAATTTTTTTTAGAATATTGTAAAACACTTTAATATTTAATACAATAATCAATCAGATTAGTACCAACATTCCCATCATTTACTATAAAAATGTATAAGATAAATATTATTTTAACATCCAATGTCACATTACTTGTACTTTAGATCTCAATATAAAGTACTGTACAAGAATTTTATTATCAAACTCACAACTCTACTGCTGTTAAAATAAATTTCTAAACTTCCATTTTAATTGATACAAAAAGAAAGTGATAATTTTTATACAATAAATAGCACTGACTACTGTACTTAATTATGGAATTGATAATACTGTACATACCCTAGATGAGATTATCCCAACAGGTAAGAGTAAGGTGAAAAACAGGGCAAAATATAAGACCAACCAAAATGTAAAAAAAAGACCCATGAGTTTCAGAATGTGTTAAAATAAGTACTGTATACAGAGATGCACTAATAATTAATTTGGGTAAATTAAAAATACACTTAATTGGAAATAAACAGTCTCATGGATAATTTTTCCTTCCAATACCCAGGAGAGTATTAATGTACCTGTATTACTGTACAGGTACCTGTATTTGCTGGAGGTGCTAAACAGTTCTAGCAAATGAAAACAAAACAGAACTCTGGTTGATTTTAGTAAGAATAAAAGCCCTGAATGTAGTGATCCAAGCCTACACCCAGCCATAACCAGTAAGATAGAGTCGAATTGAAAAAGCATAATCACTGGCAACTACATAATACTTATAATAATAAAAGAATTACATAGCTAATGGGAAAAACTCAATAACAGTCTCTCAACTTCATTTCATAATTAACATGTAGAATGTATTCTTAAGTATTCTTATTGATGAGGAGGTAACATGTAAATTTTATTCTATTTCATATACAGTAATCTCTCCGTTAGCAGGAATTGAAATTTTCTCGGAAAATCATTCCCAAAGCCGGAAATTTCCGGAAAATTCCGGCTTTGGGAGCGATTTTCCGAGGGGTAGATTTTCCCGGTACCCGAAAAATTCCAGGGACGGGGGAGTTTTTTCCGGGTTTGAGAGATGAAAATCAGGTGAATTTTCTGGAAATTCCGAGAAAATTTTTACGTTACCCGGAAAATTCCAGGGATGAGGGTTTTTTTTATATGCGTTTGAGAGATAATATAATGGGCAATTTCTGGAACTTCTGAGAAAATTTTTCTGTTACCTGGAAAATTCCGGGGATGAGGGATTTTTTTCCGGCTTTGAGAGAGTTGTCTCGTTACCAGGAAATGTCTCATTCCCGGAAATGCTCTGCACCAATTGTTCTGGCTAATGGAGATATCACCGTATTTCCAAATACTGTACAGGCGTACTGTGATTAGGGTGCACAAAGTATCAAACTACTATCCCGTATTAACCCCCTTCTCTAATCTCATACAATACAAAAAAAAAAAAAAAAAATTGCAGCCTAACTTATCAAGATGCTGAAGCGAAGAGGGTGGAAAAGACCCATGATGCAGATCTTTCAAACTTTTCAGGTATCGGTTTGAACACTTTAGTGACCAAATGTGTTTATTTTGTAAGTACCTGTATAATGGTAATACTCTGAAACGCTTTTTCAGATAAACCATCAACTTTAAAATATTTTTTCCATTGGAGAACTTTTTTTCTTACTTCAAAACAGTCCTCACAAATGAAGAAGAATTGCATTTTTTTTATTATTATTCTGGAGATATTATTTTTTTTTATCCCAAACACTTATCTACATCCACCTACAAAATCCCCTGACACCATTATCACTTGTGTATGTGACGACCGTTTCACACACATAACCGGTTCCAACTACAGTGTTTTTACATTATGACTAAACAGAGCTAGCCAAGTTGAACCAATCTAATCTACCTTAAACTGCTAATCTTAGGATATAAATACAGTACATTATTGATTGTTTGGTTAGAATTGGTGGATTATGTTAGGTAAGATACAGAAAGGTTATTGAGAAACACTGAGTTGCTCGACAGATCAAGTGCCACACATGGTGTCCAAGAATAGCACAACCACCAGAATTAGCTGTTGCATTTCGTAATTTTTTCCAAAGATGTTCTTATTCTTATAGTAAGTAATTTAAAAAAAGAGAACATTTACTTGAACCTAACCTGACCTAACCAACCCGAGAAACCTACCTGACCTTACTTAACTTCACAGCTGGAGGTTCTGCCCTTCAGACCCCCTGACATATTAACCAGAAAGTACTTATTTTGATATCTGATACCTATGAATTGAAACTTTGTTGAAGCATCATGGTGTAATGTTAGTCTTTTGTAAATGTAGCCTCTTTTAAAATGCTTACTATAATGATAAGAACACGTGGAAAAACTTAAGGAAATCGAACATTCTAAAATTCCTGGTTTACCTACACAAATATTACAGAGTATTACCTAAATATTAATCATCTATCAGTTACATTATCATACATCACTGGATGACATCCTTCCATATACAGTATTCTTCAGTAACTGACCATAAATCCTTCAGTATCCTGCCATCAACACACCTTCTGGCCACGGCCTCTAAGTTACCTGCCAATTTAACTATAATGCAATCAATCTATTACATCCCATGGACATATTTAGCGTCACCAAAATTAAATTACCATAGTTGTAGTGGCCCCTGGACCTGACAAACACGTGACTTGACATTTATATTTAATAGATATTTAGCTCGCTTGGAAATTGGGGAGACTGTAGCTAGGAACCCGGTTTCCCTTGAGAAAACTGTATACACTACAAAATCTCTCTCTCTCTCTCTCTTTCTATTTATATATATATATATATATATATATATATATATATATATATATATATATATATATATATATATATATATATATATATATATATATATATATAATGATTTTCTTTGTAATCTTATACTGTACAGTATATTATAATTGCTTTTTTTGTAAATCTATTTCCACTTCTTGTAATATACAAACTTACTGTACTATCTATGAAAGTGAGAATGCATTGACTTAAATTAATGATTTGATACATTAATTTATAAATTATATTTATATAATACATAAGAGTCAGATTTTAACCCCTTCACTACAGGAATGCCACTTTTAACATTTATTTAGCGAATATCAGACAATTGTATTCAGCTTAGAGGGGAACACCATACACAAGTACAGTAGTTAAGAAATCATAAGACACATTCATAATGTACTACTGTACTACCCTGTATTCCAGTACAACCTGTTGCAGCTTTTGCTCTTGGGAATCTATCTATTACAGAACAGTGCTGTGTTATATTATGGATGCACAATTTTGATTAGCCAATGGTTGTCATTATTTTGAACATATTTCCCCTTGATAATTTCAAAGCCATCATACCATAATGGTCTTGTCAATTTTGCTTTAGTTCTGAAGATGAACAAGAAGTCATAATACAGTACCTGGTTGCTTTTGGAAAAGAATGGATACCCAAGGAAGTCACAATTTTCTTTAGAATATTAGTTGAATACACTTTAGTTTTCTCATCTTAGTGATCATATCTCAACTTTGACTTCAGCTAATTTAAATGTTTCTGTAAAAGTTGTAAAGAGGCTTACCCCGGTATGCATACTTCTGTAAAACACAAAGTTAATAAAAAATCAATCGGAGAATTACTTTTACCAATACTTACCATAAATAAGGAAGCTCCATACAGTACAGTAATCAATTTAATCAATGTTGCTGAACGAGTGAAGGGCAATACCCTATACTGTACTGTACCTGGTTTTTTGGGTCAGTGTGCTTAAAACTTAGAGACCAATTCACAGACTATAGTCAGAGTATGGCAACAACAGTCAAGATATATTGTGAAAAAGAAACAAAGGTAAGTTTTCAGTACTATATCATATCTCTATGATCTTCTTTATAACATCATTGTGAAAAAGTTACAACATATGAAAGGATTACATTATCTATCAGTTCATGAATACATTAACACAAGTGTAAAATTTGAACAAGATCGTATCATTGGGAGCACAATTATAAATATTAACCACATGCCTTTTAAAGTACAGTAGAGCCAAACTTAATCTTTTGCCTACGATGGGAAGCAGGCACTTCATACAAATGTACAATTCTTTAATAATATGCTAACAAAATTATGTACTCTGATCTGCTTTATTGTCATACTGTAATTTCTTTCAGTTTAATATGAATACAATAAGGGAACATAGTGTTGTCCTTGTCGGTCCTTCCATAAGACAATTAATTTCTCTTCATATCAAGAAAAAACAATGTCATTTTCAATAATCTCCATTTTCCAAAACTATTTATTGAAATTATAGTCCTTGTAAACTCAAAAAGAGGGCATGGCATTTATCAAGTGCCTGTTAGTTCTATTACTACTGTATTGTACATCCTAACAGTACTGAAATATGACAGTGTACAGTAATCAATTAACAAAATGCAAATGCAATGATGTTTTTAACTTTTAATTCTCAATTTAAAGTACACTAATACATATTCTATTCTAATCATGTAGTTTTGTTTTGTATTTTCCATGTGTATAAAGAGCGAAAATATCTGTTCCACTCTTTCTTTGTTGACAAGCTTTTCAAAAAGTGACAAGAACTGTCCTGAAATTTACAAAAGGCCCTTACCACAGAAATTTCCCTTTAACTAAAATCTTTTACAGTTAACTGCACTACCGCAGAGCCTTAAGTTCACCAGTCACACAGAGAAAGGTTGACAGACATTGCACTTATTTGTATGTTGCAGAAATAGAAATAGGCAATGCAATATCTTACTATCTAAATTAATATCCCTTGTAATAGTACGGTATCAATGTTTAGGGAAATCAATGCGATAATTTTTCTTTACAATTTAGATTTCTTCTTTACATGTGATGAGAGAGTGATGGGGTACATTTTTCCATTACCAGTTCACAAGATCTGAGTTGGATACATCACCAGTCTGGGATATAGAGGGATACTCAAAGTTGGTCCTTCCATTCATGTTATACCACTGGACTATATATATAAACTCTTATAACCTGATACAATAACACAATTCTATATTCATCAAACACACCTAGTTACAATAGAATTAACTGTATATACATTCTTTTATGGAACTTGTATTTCTTATCTAAATCTACAACTCTTTCGGTACCATACAGCCCCAGCAGCCTATATAGTATAGATGACATCAACCACCCAGAAAATGCATGTGATGTTGCAACTTGTGGGTTACTGTGCACCTACTACAGGATCAATTTAAAAAAAATTGTGATGGTAAATCCCCAAGTTTTATAAGAAAATATTATTATCAAAAAATTAAATAAAATGTACAGTATATCCGGTCAACAGTACTCTACTGTACATGAAAACTTGACGTGTAGTGAAAAATTGCTATGATACAGTACTGTACATGCTTACTTACATGTATGAGACATATCATCAGCTAATTACAAGTACAGAGTTCAGGTTGGCTGGGTAAATGAAACCTGTTGATGGACTCTCATCATAATAATTAATTGCAATGATTTGTGGATGTGCAGGCATATGGTTACTGCAAATCTATAGTAATTATTGTTTCATGGTACTGTACAGGTATTGTAAAACTCTCAGTGCCTGGATTTTAAAACAAATTAAGTTCAAATCAGATGTGTACAGTAGTTGGTCTAAAAAAAATTATTTACGGTATTGTCATACTGTATGTACTGTACTGTACTGTATACAATTCACATACAAGTCCTGGTAATAGTTGTGTACCTACATGCGAGACATTATATGTGTTAAATTCAAGCAAATTTTCCAAATATTATAAAGTAAAAAAAAAAATATATACAGTATTGTATTGCCTGAAGTTGTGCAAAGACATGTGCATCCAATTCCAAATATATGATGCATATGTAATGCATTTAACACACCTTAAATAAATACCTACATGATTTATATGAACTGAATATGTATCATGGATACAATACTGTATCCTCATGATATAAGAGAAAAATAAAATAGTCCACTAGACCTGGCTGTTGGGGTATTTCCAGAACAAAAAACAAAGCTATGACTCTCTCTTTTATTGATACTCTGATGATTGTTCAGTATCCATAGCAGCCTACATCTCCTCTTCTCTCTCACTGTTGTACTCTGGTTCATTATTAAATTCAACATGACCATAATCAGCACAATTACAAATATAAAGGCTTTATTACATACAACATTAATTTCAGAGACAATATGTAAGAGTAAATCCTTAGGCCACAAAACAAAAGGCACCTTGATAGTCTCCACATGGGCTTCAATAGTTATAAGGGATAGGTTTATGAGAGAGGAGGGTTCAGCTTGAGTAACAAAGTCAATAAGAAGTCAAGTATTCATAAAACCAAGAGCAAGACTCAAGTCTCACTGGCCAGGTGTGATAATGACATACTGTAGGTAGTGTCACAACCATCTTGGAGTTGTGGAACCAGATAAAACATGCTCTAGGCAGATGTGAGGGATATGGCGATCAATTAGGCATGTCTGAACAGCCTTAAGGCAAAATATTTTCTCCCATTTTTTAACTAATGTCAGTGTCCCTCAATATATGTGGCTTAGAAGCCTCTGTGTCAGTTAAATGACAATGACCAAGGATGATTCAAAATGCTATGAGCCATGAACTTAAAAGCAAGCACAGAAATACCAATGTAACTTCCCATTAACAGCTATGGTAGAACATGGTCATAATTATTGTTATCACCCCAACTGTGGTATAGTACTGAAAGAGTCGAGAGCTTTAGTGACACTGTATATGTCATCTACAAACATGCAACAATGAAGCACATGCATTATGAACTGCTTATGATCATACCAATATATTTGTTGACAATTATATTTTAAATGATTGAAAGGCGCAAGGCTTTATGCATAACCTAACTTTATGGTTACAAAGCTTGATATTATTACTGCAATATCCCAACAACTGCTTTATAAATACTGTAACCACCATAACAATTATAATCTAAATAAACAAATGGCTATTATGTGTTACCAGTCACAGAAAAATTGTATTCTTCACTTGATTGCTAAGTTTTATCATGACCTGGCAAATCAAGCTTAGGCTTAGGTAATTCAAATCTAGTTCCATCTTCCAAGTCTCACCCATTTTCTAGCTGATGACTTTTTAGTTTAGCAGAGCTGAATGATGTTCAACAGACACAAGTTCTGTATGAACATTTGTTGGCTGAATACGAAGCAAACTATATAAAAATATTTATTTTATGTTATATATCTCATATTCCAACAGGATGATGCACCTAAAAGTTTCTTTAAGACACTTTGGAAATTAATTAATCATCTTTATAAGTTCAAGCGTCCAAGGCCCAAAAGTCAATGTGCTAAAAAAATCCAACTGTTGAATTAGTAAACAGATCTCCATCTGGTGGTCCTGAGAAGTAGGTTTGAGAGAAATAATTGGGGGTTGTCAGAAAGAAAAATTTGAACAGAAGGAAAATGCACACACACACAGCAACACAAACATACATACATATATACACACACACACACACACCAATCCCCTACACATACCAAACACACACACACACACACACCAACCCTACACATACACACAAACAAACATACCTTCATCAACACACACCATATACCCCCAAAAAACATCCACACCCCTCCTCACTCAATAAACAAGAGAGAGAGGTGGGTAGCAGGAAGACAAGAATGAGATGGATGAAGGATATACAGTACTAGAAGTGAAAAGAAGACACCCATGAACCAGCAGTGCTCATGAATGAATGAAGAGCACAACATCAAGTGATTTTTAGGCAATAAAGTGCAGCAGAAGGATAATGTTGGTTTGTGTGATGCAATAAGGGTAAACTAGATGTGGGACCTTATTGTGAAAGGGGAGCACCAGCATACCACATCTATCACAACAATAAAAATAAGTACTAAATGACAACAAATTAAGAGACAGAGAGCGAGAGAGAGAGCAATATAAAGAAAGTGTGTGTTGACTCTTGACTCTGGCCATCCTACATTTAGTGGTAAAAATCTTGAAAAACTATTCTTTGAAGGATAATGTACTATATGATGCAAAAATATGTGAACCATGTAGTGATGTGGAGTGTATAAACAGTCCTATACAATGACAACCAAAGCAAAGAAGAAAGTTAACAACACTAACCATTTCTTAGTTAAATAAAACATTACATTAGTTTCAACTACTGTACATTTACAATAACTTGAAAATTCACTGGTCATGTTGATCATGAACCCTACCCTGGCTATCAGAGAACATACAGTATATAATTAGCACAGGATTACACCTGAGTTAACACTGAGAATTATCAATAAGTGTGTGTTGCAGGCCTTTGTCTTTTGGATGTTCGTGTAACATGGTACTGCAATGTTTCTTTGATGTTAATACAACATCAAATGTTGATCTATTCTGTAAGAACAATGCAGAGACTTGTATTTGTTATGATAAACAGTAACATACCAATATCTTACAAAACTGGAATGCATAAAATAAAAAACAAAGTTACATCTGCCGACTGTAGCCTGTAGTGAAAGGGTTAAGTAAGCATATATCAAATGAGCAAATATTTTCTATACGTGGAAGTAAAACTTTAAAATAAGTACATTACTCCTGTTAAGATTCCCAAATCACAAAACACCGATACAGTACTGTACAGGTATTCATAAACATCACTCTATGATCAACATGAACAACATAAAACTCAAACATATATTTCATCATAAATATATGTATACCTTTACCTCTGAGGAACATCTTTGACTTGGGTTGGTAAATAATAAAGCAAAAACATTTTGCTGTTAAGAAGAGAAACTTTCAATATAAAAAAAAATTACCAAATATTATTATAAAATGTTAATCTTTTACTATAAATACACACATCTAGGTTAATGCATGGATGACAAGACACCTACCATAACATAATGATAACACTGAAGAAGATCGATCCACAAGTACAGTAATAAATTTGAGGCTGTACCCACGTAAGGTTACCAAGATATTATTTATGGTGTGGGTAGAGCTAATTGCTTTGTCAAGCTAAGGTCCAGAACTAGCTAACACCTCTCACCTGGAAGGAACCAACCGCTAACTTTTCAGCTTACTGCACTTGGCTAACCCACCAACATCTAGATAAGAGTAATGGCACACACACAATTACAACTATTGTACATTTAAATTCTGCAAGACCACACACACTATATTTATAAAGAGGTACAATTATTCATAAGCATAATTTACTTGCTTGAATGGACAACCTATGAATGCAGTCTTCTAAATGGTACAGGTTAGTTCTTCGTTAGAGAAAGCTCGTTGTTAGATACAGTACAGTACTGTACCCCTTTCTTTGATGTCTACAGATTGTAGACTTAAAATCATACATTAGTGGAGAATATTTAAAACTATTTTTTTATGTTTTTACTATACAGTATATGGACAAGAGCACCTTTATTACCAGCTATGTTAATGGTAAGCTAGAGTATAAAAAGTCACGGAGAATTTTTCTGTGAGTTAACAAAGTAATGACACACTGCTGAACACAGTTTGCAGTACAGTATCAGTAGCTTTTAGGAAGTACTGTACAGTAATAACAGTAATATAAAACTTCATGATGGCATGTGAAAAGTCTATATAACCCAGTATGGATTAAAGAGAGTATTAAGAATATACAGTGCACTCTAAGTACAAAGTCATCTATCAGGGAGACCTTTAGCCCAACCCTTGCAATAGTTACTATATCAAACTAGAACAGCTTCCTATTACCAGTACTATATAAAGGTGGAGAGGAAAGGACAACTAAACTTTATGAATACAGTATTGTACTGGCAACACAAGGAGGAAAAGTACAGTATAAGAAAACCATGACAAGACAGGATAAGTCATACCAGGAAGATGAAACTTAAAATACATACAGTACAACCTCAAAAATCTGTTAACTGGGAGTCTCTCAAACCTGAAATAATTAGAAAAAAAAATCACTAGTGTTAGGTTTTGACATAAGCAGTTATCAGTGAAGAATGCTTGTGGCAGGACTTTCTCTATGATTCTGTGCACTTGTAATATGAATATAACTCTAGCAAATGCCTTCAAATACAGTTCCATATATTGTATGTTTTAGTATTAGAATATAAAGGTGTGAATTGTATCAAACTATGAAAGCCACGAATGTCATTTGTTAGCTGACAGGATGAGCAGAAAATCTAATTAAAACAAGGACATAAAGTTCAGTCTGTTAAACAACTGTATAAATAATAAGAGTTCCAAGAAAACTTTCATGGTAGGTACAGAACACTGATAAGAGGCAGCCTTTTAGTGATTCACACAAAAATTTCCAAATTACCTTGAAAAGATCGTGAGCAACAATAATTATTACTTTAGAAAAAGTAAAAAAATCACTTTACCAGGAGAATGAAGGAAGAGTTTAAATTTAACACAAATAAGGTGAAATAAATATATTAAATACTGTACCATGATCTTACCTATGAAGTCAGAACAGTAAAATCTATAAATAATGAAACAACACACATATACCAGCCAAGACCTACCTGACCTAACCACTCAGCAAACGATATGTTGTAAAATCACTGAAATGGTTAAGCTGATTTGCTATGTCTCACATTCTGAGAGACACACCTTCACATTTCATTTTGTTTCTATAAATCTTTACCTTTACTAAATTCTTAAGGTATGATTGATTGCTTTTCCCTAACAACAAAAACTGCTTGTGATTTTTATGAGAATTCTGCTTAATGGCTCTTAATCACTGAAGTGCACCTCACCTCTGTAGTTCACCTAATCAGGAAACACAACATAAAAATGCTTCACTATTTCAAGAAGAGGGGGAACACAGGGGCAGTGACCTTGTTCAGAAAACTAGAAAATTCCCAATTCCAGTATGCTCTAGGTCTCCACATTGCTGGATTTCTGAGGTTATACTGTAAAACAAATATGAAATATACAGTGAAACCTTAATTTAACAGACTATACATGGAGAGGAAAGTCCCTTATAGCGAGGGTCCACTGGATGTGAAACCACCATCTAATGAACTTATATAGATATGAAAGTCCATTATATCGAGGGTCCGTTAAATGTGAAACCTTCTTCTAATGGAAATGGAGATAGAAGTCCGTTATATGGAGGTTTCACTGTAGTAGTCATTGAAGGACAGTAGAAGAATGAACAATTTCTGATAATTTAAAAGCATTCAGGCCTTTTTTAAAACCACTTATTGGTTTAACTGTCAAGCAAACACGTGTCCAGTTAATGAGAGATTCAATATACATACACGATTTTGTTCACTATTACTTTTACCAAAAATTAATTTAAAATAATATTTAACTCAAATAATATAAAAATAAATAAAACAGTTATATGTTCTAATAAAAAAGATCTTTTTCTCTTTTTTACCAATGAACCACTTGATGCTTGATACATTCTTCCTCTGTATAAAAATATACATTCTGAGTAAATCATTTAGGAAAAAAACCTTATTAATGACAACAACAAAATCTACCCACTGTTTACCAGGTGGATCCTAAATCAAATCTAACTCGCTCAATATCAAAGGAATTTTCAATACTTTTTGTACTGTACTGTAAATCTAATCCCATCACATTACAACTAAAGATGGAAAAAATAAATCTTGAAGTAAATATATGCATTAGAAAATTTCCAGTACGTATTGAGAATAGGCTTGGAGACGTGAGAGGTCAAAGGTCATTATTTGGGAGAATGGATCTTGCGCATATAAGACAGCAGCTGGGGGGGGATCTCACGCAGCACCTCCTGTGCCAGGGTCGCTCTGGACAGATCCTGATTGTCCGACAGGTACCTCTTTAAATCTGAAACAAGGATAATGTACTTAACACACTGAAAATGCATATGTAGGAAATTCTTTATATGAGTATACCGGTAGATAAGAGGCTTTAGAAAGATGTTGAATTAATGTTCTGGTAATCAGGTTGGATAAAATTCTGCAAGACTTACTAAGCAGTGTATTGGGAATGACATACAGCACGTATATGATTGGCAACATCAGAATTTCATCCTCATGATCTATGTGGGATAATATTTGATTTGTCTATGCTATGGCAAAAGCCAGTTAAGTCTTTTCATAATACAGTAAATGAAACCCAATATGAGAAAAAAAAAAGCTAAACTGAAAGACAGGAAGCCCTGTTCAGAGCTGAAAGTGTGGTTGGGTATCGAGAGTACACGATATTGGTTAAGTTCTATGTAGAAAGCAAGCTGAGATAGTTGAGGCATGAGTTCAATTGGGTCAAGAGGTGCACGAGTCTAAATGTGGAGGGGGAGGAGAGTCAAGGGTAGGCCGAGAAAAACATTGAGAGATTGTAGGAAATAACACGAAGAGACTGCAAGAGACTGTATTGCATGGTGACCTGTCATCAGGTAATTGCGACTAACCTACTCAAGCGAGGAAAATAGCCATAAAATGTCAATGATGATGACTACCTGTACTAAAATTCTCACAAAAAATATATGAAAAAAAAATGTAATATAAAGAAAATTTGGAGTAACAATTACACATATGATCAAGTCTAAATGTGATGGCTGTCTATGGAACCTTGCAAAACTAAGGATAAAATCACTCGTAAATTGGGAGTGAAAGATCTATGCATACAGTATTTGATTTTAGCATTAGTAGTCATTAAAAGGCACATTTAGTATTGCACATCTACAAATTATACACACCAAAAAATTGTCATCCAGCAACTATGTAAGCAAGTGGAAGTGGGAGGAGAAGAAGGAAGGAAGGAAGGAAGGAAGGAAGGAAGGAAGGAAGGAAGGAATGAATGAACAGATGAGTACTGTATTGTACAATTCTACATATTAATTTACAACTGGTTTATGAGTGGAAATACAAGATGAGAAAATGTGTTACGTAAACTCAACAGAGAACTCGTGTCTAATAAATACTACTTGACGTGGAGTGGGCAGCAATACCAAATCTTAGTAACAGAAGAAAACATGAGAAGTGAGTGAGTTTGTATGGGGTACTGACCGACAAAAAAAAACCCTGGAAAATGCAGATCAAAGGGAAAAAATTGGTTGGACATTGTGGTTTCCAGTTAACAGGAAGGTATTGTATTTGGGAAGAGTTGATGTAAGACAGTATTTAATTTTTGGGGTAATATTAGAGTTTACAATGAGGTCAATATACTGTACACCCTTAGCTCATGAACAACAATTTATATTTGCCTAAACAGGTACAGTATAACATTTCTCTGGTAAGGAAAGGCATTAGACTTCCTAAATCACTGAATTTCATTTCTTGCCCCTGAATAACAATGATATCTCTGTTAGACGGAACAATTGGTGTAAAGAGATTTTCGGGTAACGAGAAGACTCTCTCAAAGCCGGAAAAATCCCTAATCACCAGAATTTTCCAGGTAAATGGAAAAATCTTCTCGGAAGTTACAGAAATTGCGCATTACATCATCTCTTGAACCTGGAAAAATATCCCCCATCCCCAGAATTTTCTGGGTACCGAGAAAATGTTCTTGGAATTTTCTGGAAAATGTGCCCCTCGGAAAATCATTCCAAAAGTCGGAATTTCCCTGAATAATCCGGCTTTGAGAACGATTTTCAGAGAAAAATTCAAATCTGGCTATCGGAGAGTTCCAGGTTTGAGGAATTCCGGCTCATGGAAATATTACTGTACAGGGTATTGTATTGTCTCAGGAAAACAAAGCCTTGGACATGAACTCTTTGACAATGAGGAATTAACCCTTTGATGACTATGATTTAACCCTTTGATGATTATGATTTACCGGGTAACCCTATGACATCTACAGTATGATTTAACTCTCTGATGACTCAAGTACAATTTAACCCTTTGATTATGATTTAACCCTTCAGGACTCAAGGTGTCAAACAAAAATCCAGGGAGATTACGAATAACAGGACATAAACTTACGATGGGAACCCAGCAAGTGAGTACAGTATTCTATATGACGGTAGAGGAGATTATGTGGCGAGAAATGAGAAGTTAGAAGTGGGACAGTCTACGACCACGTGAAGTAAGATGGACAGGTTCAAATAGCATTACTGGAGATGCATGTCACTTCATATGTCCAGATGGTGTAATGCATGAAAGGTGCTTAGTGTTGGGTAGGTATGTGTCAGGATATTGGGCACTACCAGAAAGAATTGAGTGGCTAACAGGCTGATCAGTGGTAAAGAGGATCAAGTAATACCAAACCCACGGGCTACACAATAATTAAGGTTTATACACCAATAAATGATAGTGAGGATGAGGCCTAAGAAGATTTTTATGAAGGTGTAATGATGGCAAAAGAAACTGCAAAGTTCAATAAATATTTTACTATACGTAATGGGTGATTATAAGGGGGAAAAAAGAGCGAGAAGTATGACTGCATGGGTTGGGTAATGGAAATGAAAGATGAGATAGGTGAGTTTACTTTTGTAAGGAAAAAAAGTGATTACTACAACATCAGTCAAGGCATCTTTATACAGTACTGTATATGAATATTACCCCAGGATAATGAAAATATTGTTGTAAAAAAAAAAAAAATTACATTTTATTTACAGGTACTATTTAAAATCTTAAAAGTCTGTAACCCAAATTAAGGCCAAACCAGGAGCAGACTGCAGGTCAGACCATGTCCCAGTAATAACTTTAGTTAGGTTGAAACTTAGGATATTAAAAAGGAAAAGGTTGGATAACATCAAACAGAATTTAGGGAAGATAAAAACAGTCAGGGATAGAATATGAAATTGAAAACCACAACAGATTTTTGGTATACAATACTGTAGTTAAAAGGGGGGACTTGAAGAACAAGAAACAGAATGGCAATGGAATGAATTCAAAGAAATAATATTAGAGAGTGGGGGGAAAAGTCTACAGCACAAAACAATAACCAGATTGAAATCACATGGCTCACAAAGAAATTTCAGAGAATAAACAGGAAATGAAAGTTGGTGGGAGAAGTGAGACCTACAAAGAAACTCATATAGAATTTCTACTATAAAAGTATTCCTAAGATGTAAGAGAACATAGTGAATAATACAGTACAAGAAAATCATACTACAGTACCTTAAATTAAGAAATACTATCCCCATCTACTAATACCACTGATACACAATACACATAGGTTTATAAATTTATATCCAGGTCACTCACAATTACCATCAACGGTGGAATCACACAAAATATCTTCAATCTATCTCTGGAAACTTGAGATCAGTACAGTAGAACCTCCTTTAACAGGCTTTTCTCTATATAATCCGTGAGGTGGGGTGTTTCACATCTAACGGACCCTCGATATAACAGAATTTCAACTCCATGTAGTTTGTTAGGTGGAGGTCTCACTGTATATCCCACATGGGCATAAAACTAACAATGAATATCAAACTAACTTCTCATACTACTGGTAATTCCTCCCTAAACAATGATAAACGTACTAGATGCCATATTACTTCCTCTTAAAACAATAATACAAAATATGTTTTAAAAGGTGGCTCATTCGTGAACTACTCTGTCACATAAAAAAAAAAAAAAACTAGCGGGCTATATTCACACGACCATGAAGATTATGAATTATTATTAAATTGTAAAAGGAGCAACAATGAATAGCACAAGTTACAATGACGTACTTTGAGTGAAACCTGTATTTAACCGATTATTATGGAGTGGAAAGTCCATTATATCGATGGTCTGTTCGATGTGAAACCCCACTTAATGGATAATACAGAGAGAGAATTCAGTTATATGGAGGTGTCATTGCATGTTGGTCTATTTGAACCAAAGGTGATAAACTAGTAATACAGTCAGTGATATCTCCGTTAGCCAGAACAATTGATGCAGAGCACTTCCGGGAATGAGAGATTTCCAGATAACGAGACGATTCTCTCAAAGCCGGAAAAAATATCCCTCATCCCCGGCATTTTCTGGGTAACGGGAAAAATGTTCTCGAAATTTCTAGAAAATGCACCTGTTACATTTACTTTTATCCTCTTCACCACTGATCGGCTCGTTAGCCGCTTGGGCGATAGGTCACGTCTCTGTTACTTTTCCTTTTCTTTTATCCAGGTGGAATCTCTCAAACCCGGAAAAATCTCGCCCATCCCCGGAATTTTCCAGATTTCTCCGGGTATTGGGAAAATTTTCTCAGAATTTAACGGAAAATCGTTCCCAAAGCCAGAATTTTCCGTAAAATTCCGGTTTTGGGAACAATTTTCCGAAAAATTTCAATTCCGTCTATCAGAGAGTTCTGGGTTTGAGGGATTCCGGCTAACAGAGATATTACAGTATATATAAATTGGGACATGAAAAGGATCCTCTATAATCATAATGGATAACCAAAACCACAGAGAAGCCACAGAAGTAGTCTATCTTACTCAATAAAACACATTAATTGATTTTGCAGCTAGAACATGTAGCACAACCACCTAAGAGCTTGTGTGTCATTTAAAACACAATTACGAACAATTATATCACAACACATAATAAAAGCACACAAAAGAGAGAGAAAAGACAATGCATGAGCAAAAAAACCTGACTTCTGAAAGATAATACCAGCAATCAGATGGCAATTCGTGACCAAACAGCCAAAACGAAAAATAGCACAAGAAATCTTGAACAAGAATAACAGATGAGAATGCAATCAAATGGCACAAAATCAATAAAAAAAATGTTCACCAATGATCAGTGCTTTCAATATTGACTAGTACTGTCTCTGGTACTTTTATCTAATTAAAGTTGTAATTGGTTCAGTCTAGAATGCAGATTATGTATTCAAATCCCAATTCATTCATGAAAAATACCTCCTGATTTTTACCAAGCAGAACTACACCTACAAGATTCTGAAAGCAACCAGGATTGATCAAGTGGAAGACCATCAATACAACTCTCCAATACCCAAAAATCAAATGATAATGTCATCACTAACACTACTTGCTGTCAATGAGTAGATGAAATTAATGAGGCATACTAGATCCCAGTGTTATGCTAAATAGGGACAACTGTGTGTTATAAGCCTTAAAGTGCACTCATGCACATACACACATGCACACACATGAAAATACACACACATGCACACACACTCACATATGTGTTTGTTTTTCAATACAAAAATATCTTAAACAAGTAACAAATTCAATGAACTGAAGATTAAATCAACCACATTAAATGGGTTTGCAGTCCCTTAACTATCCTGCAGCCACGTCATCAATTGCAACTGAATTACTCAGTGCATCTGAGTGTGGTACAGTGATCCCTCGGTTAACGAGATTTCGGTTAACGATTTACCTTCCATAAGATTCTTAACTTCGGTTAACGAGCAATCCCTCGAATAACGAGTTTTTTACGAGCCGACTTCAACATGTTTTCGCTTGCATTTGGCGGTCCACCAGCTGTAGTATTAGTCCGCCAATACAGTACTCGGTTTTAGGGCTTAAATTCCTTAATATTATAGTAAATATCAAGAAGTTTATACTATTCAATAATTTTAAAAGTTGAATATTAACTTTTTTAGTCATTTTAACAATTATTGAACATAATTGAAGGTAAAGAAATTAGTTTCTGGCGTGCCATCCAGCCTGTTAACACACCAGACAGGCGTTAGTCTCTCTCTGTTTTCAGTGGAGGTAACATCTTGCTTGAGACTCTCTTCAACTAAGCGCTTTTTTTCTGTGTTTCCAAGCAAATTATTGGTCATTTTGAAATTTATTTTACATATTGACAATATATAATGCAGTGCAGTGTTGAATTAAAGAAAATAATCTTGAATTACACCAAGAGAACTAAAATTTTATGGGTGAAATGGTGCCAGGGGGTGACTTCTCTTCCACCCCAATGCCTTCTCTTCTCCCTTCTCCACCACCATTCTAATTCCCATCATCATCATCATCCAGGAGCCTTCTACATACACACCTCAAAGTAAGTGTACTTTTCTACCTTTTTTGTTGAATTTAGGCAATTTTCGGTGAGCTGGAACCAATTACCCAAAACCCATTGAAATAATGGTTTCGGTTAACGAGCAACCTGCTGGAACGGATTGTGCTCGTTAACCGAGGGACCACTGTATTTGTGCCTTTGCTCGAGGCTGAGGTGTACATCATTTGACAGTTGCTCTTCATGGCAAAATTTCAACATCTGAGATGGGAGAACATACATATCCCAGCCCAAGTTCCTCACTTATATCAGCAGTAACATGGCCTCCTTCGAAAAATAATAAACAAGACATCACTAACACACAAAATTCATATAAACAATTACTAATGGCTGTCCCTTGTGTCTGAGGATGACTGGCCTCTAAGGTCACTTACAGTACAAATTTCTGTAAGGTGGAGAAACTGTAGCAAACAAAACAATCACACCAATTTGCACATCAAGCTTTCAGACAGGGCTTTAAAATTCCAAGAACCTCAATGTGAACCTTATTAGTTTGAAATAAATACTGTAGAAGTTGATAGATAAACATTCTAATCTTTGTAAGATTAGAATAAAATGAATATCACAAGCCTTCTATTTAATCTAAGAATAACTGTGGGACAAAATATTACTGGGACTAGTTAGGAAAGAACCTGCAATAAAAGAGAGGCAGATATAGTGCCATACATCAACTGACACATAGATGAGAAGATTCTTGATTCTAAGTTTCAGATAAAATGTATTTATCAAGAATACAAATTTGAACCACAGTTTGAGTTAATCGCAGTAAAAACAATAAAACTATTCACTCTTAATAGACAGTGGAAAAGTGCATGTTGCCAAATGTCAAGTGCAATGAACCTAACAAAAAAGTTAGTTGGGAGAACCACTCAAAGCAAACTTGTCAGCTGTGAAGATCATGTACAGTACTTCATTGGGTTTGGAAAAGCAGAGGTGAACAAGGGCATTATGACAGCCCGAATAACAACACCAAGGCTCTATGTATAAAATATTATACCCTTACATTGTAAAGGCAATTCTTTAACCTTTAGGCATCTGACAAATATAGTAAAATATATCTAGGGTATTTGTTCTTTCATAAAACACTCTTCAATTTAATGGTATTAAAGTTAACACCGATCATGTATATTTGCTCCAAAATATGTTACCTAAAATGTCTAAAATTAAGGTAGTGTATTTACCTAAAATATAACCACTGTATCATTAAAACATAATTAACATTAAACAATTAAAAAAGGGAAACAACCAATATTAACCCACTTCACACCAGTTCATCTGCATCCATAATACTGTACACAGATTCCCTAACTTAGAGAAGCTGCATTTTTTTAATTAACCGTGTGTGTGTGCGTGTGTGTGTGTACTCATATATGTATGCATTTACACTATATAGTACAGTACAGTAGTCCTCACCTTACATGCTTTTGCTTTACACAATTTTGCTTGAATATGGTTAACACATAACTACCTATCTTCTCAACATATGGAATATTCTTAGCAATAACAAAATTTTACTTGCCAGAACCCCTACCTCACTGTAACATACCGGGTAATCCAGCTAACCAATGGAGTTCAAGCAATGCTGTGACATAATGATCCTGTACACTTCACTAGCCAATGATATACAAGCAGATGGGAAGGGAAAATAATGATTCTTGCTGTGGTTACACATGCCCATACTGGATTACTTACAGCCTGAAAATCATGGTTTTAGTAAATATGACTTTTTTTATCTACAGATGATCAAATACTGTATCTCTATATTCAACATAAATTGCTGAATAACTTAAATGTGATTTACTGGTTCTCATTACAAAAAATGTATATGGTGAAGCTTATCATATACTGTACAGTACTGTCATCAACTACATACACCCATGCTAATCAGCCATCTAGGTATTGATATGCTCTTTTCCTACACTGACAGTACATCCATTAAAACTGATCACTTCCATAGCTTCATAATTCAACAATGGCAATGCATGACACACACATACAGAAATATTCAATATGTTGGTCTGTAAGTGGGTAAAGCACTTGATGTTTGCTTGTACCAAGAAACATAAGTGTGAAATGTATGAAAACAATCTTACTAAGTAAATAAAGAAAGGAAACAAGTAGACACTAGTCTAGTAAACAGCTATCCGTGGGGGATATCAAGGGGCTTGAAGTTGAAACTGTATGCCTTACCAAAACTGCTGCTCCTATGTAAAGCTTGCCAAAGAAAACATCTATCAGTGGGAGGGGTATTTCACTTACTTATCATATATCACAGATGAGCTGAGGGTAATAGGCAAGGAATAAGATGAGCTAGACTCACTTCTTAGAAATCAAAGCCAATATATTATGCTTACTGAACCCAGCATGTACAGTATATGTAGTGAGTAACAATGAAACTACACTGACACCACAAATCTATACCAGGATCATATTTTGCTATGTTTTGTAATGAAACTTATTGGTTGGAAACCTGGGTACACACAGTGTGCATCTGGACACCTGACACTGGTGGTGAAGGGGTTAAAGTGGTACAACACGTAATAATGGGGAGAGAATTTGCTTAAATGCTTTAATATCTACTGTGGGGGGGGGGGATTTGAACTCGTCTTGAAATTAGGAACATGCAGTAAGGAGTGACAATGTCATGCCTAAAGGGGTAACATCACCTTGACACCTCAATTTTTACCGCTGCCAATGAAACACCTGCACTAAGCTACTCAAGGCCATATGTGTTAACGGGGCCCTGGATGGTGGGAGGACGAGGAAGGTACCCATGTATTCTCATCCAGGACACCAGCTGCTGTGGAATTTCTGCCAGGACATCTTTGGCTAGCCTGGCTTGGCTGAACTGACTGTGGGATGCACTCTGACCCAAGTGACGCCTCAGCTCTTTCATGACATAGAAAGAAAAAGGATGAATGAGTAAAGCGCTAAATATAAGATACGTAACAGGAAAAGAAACAATAAAGAGTGTTCAGAAATAAGCATGAAGCCAGCTACAAAAACATCATTAACAACTCTATGTGTATATTCTTAACCTATTCAAAATTATCAATACATCCACACATATATGAAATCCAGTATGAAAAAATAACCCATTTTCTAAAGCAACACAAACCTCAACCAGGTTGCCTAGCATTTAAGTGAAATAAAATAAAAAATTTCCTGGCGAACTGATTTTTCAGTCTATAACACCACATACAAAAGCATATTCTAAAATGTGCCCTCCCATCACACGTCATAAATGTTCTACACAACCAAAACACAACAAAAAAATCCAAGGGGCAAGCTGGTAAAAGAGCAAATTACCATTCTACCATCATAGTAAAAACTACAGGCTATTGTAAAATGATCTTTAGGATGAGTAATATGTGACACATAATGGAAAGAAAGAGATTCTAAAATTTGGAATGTAAAAATCTGCCAATCACTACTGTACTACTTAATAACAGGTTATTACAACAATTGGAACTCTTGTGAGGAAACAATTCTGAATCAGAATACTGTACAGTACAGCATTGTTCAAATATCCTACAAGAACTGAAAATGGATTGTTTAAAATAACAAGAGGTATACCATATATCACCAATGTCAAGTTTAACCATCTGAGCTAACAATATTGCTCTGTCTGTCTGAAGAGAAAATATATTTGGAGATAATAATGAATAAGGAATTACAATATTAATTTATATTTTCAGAAAACAATGGAAATTTCACACTTCCACAGAATAACCTTCATACCTAATCTTCTTGGACGTTCTACTGACTATACTAGACATATAAATAGATTACTGTACAACACAATTTTCATTTGATTCACATACAATACAGTTCAGTCTCCCTCAATTCGCTTAATTAGTGTGCAGACAGTCTGGATGAGGGAGGATTCCAGATACTGTACTGTACTCATATATTAAGTCTCTCAAAGTTGGATATTTTTTGGTTATTTGTCCAATTTTATTGTGTTAATGAACAAGTACCACGAAATAAACCCAAAACGCTAGATAATGAAGACAAAAAGTGTAATTAAAACTAAACAAAGACAAAATTAAGAAATATAATACAGTATTAGTCACCCCTTAGGCTACATTTTCTTTAATCCATTTATGTGCCAATCATTACTATAAAATGGAATGGAAGAAATATACGGTACAGTAACAGGTCGTACTCACCACTGTAGCGGCCTACTCGCAGTGAAAATCTGAACAGCATCACATAAATCAACATCACAAGCTCATACACTACAGTACTAGTTTTTCCTTTACTTCAAATTAATTTTACCATGTCAACTGCATTCCTCCCTAAGGGTTTGGCTGGCATTTAGGCATAGTTCAGATGTCCTTTCAAACATAGAATAAGCTACAAATCAGAGTTAAATGTCACAGTGTTCCTTATTTATGAGATAAAAGCGACAGGAGACAAAAGGATTAGGAATTGAGTGCGACTGAAAAGAAGACATAAACCAAAGCTAAAGGAGCAAGCAATAAAGGCAATCACAGTCCAGGGTATTACCTCCAGTTCCTGTAGAGTTATACAATAAGCCCATCAGTAACAAACACCCTCAGGCCACAGACAACTACATGTATTAAAACACAAGAACATATTTTGGTATTTTACACAAAGCAGTGAGATGGGTGAGATTTTTTTGTAAATAAAAAGGGAACATCCCAGGAAAAAAAAAGTGATTGGCTCCCAATTCAAGTTACAGGTATTGGAGATTTCTGGTGAAGACTTCCACTTATGGGGAACTTTACATTGATATGAATTCTCCTAAATATAATTGTGAAATATTGCACTTGTAGACATCTTTGGTCAAATTGCTTTACTGTTTACTGTATTCACACTGCATATTCTCTTTTGCGAGTACAAACGAATTCTAACATAAATTTTCATATGAATATTGATGATATCACTTAGTCATGGTTAGAATCAATCAGCAGTACAGTGCCTTCATAGTAGTGCGTCATCTACCTATTAAACGTAAGATGCATCACAAAACAGACCTTTTAACAAACACTTACTCATACCTGTACTATAAACATTTCAAGCAGTCTTTAGCTGTCAGTGATGCCCTGTTCTCTTTGACTCTTCAGGTGCAGCTCAAAGTAAAGTCTTCCTTATACATTCCTGCCACTGATCACCTTTGTATCGTTCATGATTTAAAACATTTCAGAATAACACATCAAACATTGGATGTAGAATTATATATATATATATCAGTTTGAGCACTAAATAATAAATGCATGAAAGGGTAAGGAGAACTTTGGTGAGAATATACACAGACAAGAGTAAAGGTAACAACAAAAGATATAAAAGTAGACAAATTAGGTTGAGAAAGTGACTAACCATGGGAACACTGTACCTCCAGGGGTATACTTTTTAAATACTATATATGAGATTATTCATATCACCTCCACTTGTACCAAACTAGCACCCCTCATTAAAGCAAACAAACAAACAAACATTACTTTTCTTTGTTTTCCCATTTAGTCTTTTTCTACAAACCTTACCAAACTACCTTCACTAACACCTAAACTCTCTTGGTGTTGACCCAGTTAAAGAAAATATCATCAACTTGCAATAGTACTTTTGTAACTTTCATATTTTTTTTCCAAGCATACAACACTTCCATCATTACTTTAGCTACAACTTCTGCTCATTCGATTAAAATAAGACCACAGTAATACATTTTTTTTACACTACATGCATCTATGTACATCGGTCTACTGTACATTCATCATTACCATTTCACATCCATCTTCCGGACTTACAGAAAAATTAATGCTTTCAAACACTATCAGTAAATACAATGATTACACATTGCTCACATTCACAAGTAAATACATATATATTAAAGCAAACAATTTTATCTAAGAATAAAGCTGGTGACAAATCAAGTTAATTCTCATATTTAGCTGAACAAGTGGAAGAGATATTAATGGCAATGATCAGTAAGTGATATAATAATCCCACTTAACAGAACCACAAAAGCAAAGCAATAATTGATAATACCAATTTAACCTAAATCCGTAAAGAGAATGAAACAGAGAAATGTTAGGACAAAGAACAGCATTGACACAGGACAAATTACTGTACAGTATACTGGGTAATTAAATTTTTCAGAAATTTCTATAAATTGTAATGTACAGAAAGAGTCCTTCCTGGAGAGACAAAATATAAATAATTTTTAAGGAACCTGTATTCCCTCAGGAACCTACTACAGTACTACCAATTCCCCCTTTCACTGTAAAATATTCCAGATTGACTCACCTAAGAAGATCACAATATCCCATTCAGCACATCCTCCTCTCTGTAAGATACCTAAAAAGTATCAAACGTTAATTGAAAGCCAACTCACCTACAAACTGCACAATGTCACGTTCTGCGTATCTGCCTCCAGAGCTGAGACGGTTGTCGTCTCCATCCAGCTGTTCCATGGCCGAGAAATCTTCTTTACCAACTCCAATAATGATCACCGACATGGGCAAATTAGATGCGTCAACTAATGCCTTGCGGGTATCCGCCATATCTAGAGAAACGTTAAAAGCTCTCAGTAATTATTTAAATACAAATCAGTTGGATGGGTAAATGGTGAAGGGAGATGGGGAAATATATATGTTAGCCTGAATTAAGATAGAATGCAGTCAGTGGAATATTTCAAGTATTTGGCAGTACCCCCTGTACAGTAGATGCATCAGAGGGTAATGAACTGAATCATAAACCAACAGCAAGATTAAAATTTATAGAGACAAAACCCAGCCAAAGGAAGTAGATACTATGAGGAAATACCTGTACTGTGTATGCTAATTGTTAAGCTGACATTACTGTAAAAGTTTGAATCATGATACAGTGGGGTATGCTATAACGAACGGATCCTACTACGAATATTCCTATAACAAACGGTTTTACCTATAAAATTGAGAATGCTATAACGAACGAAACTCCTACAACGAACATTATTTAATTTTTTTTTTTTTACTAATTTATTGTTTTTTTTATAACAAGTATTAATGATATTCTTTATTTCAGGGGTTTAGATGCATATTTATGCACTTTTTTACAATTTTTACAATTTTATACTATATTTTTCAGTGTTAAGTGGTTGTATTTGGGGGCCTGGAACGGATTAATCCTATAATGAACAAGGTTCTAGAACCAATTAGATTCGTTATAGCATACCCCACTGTATATGGATGTGAGGAGGAGCAAATTAACCCTCTGATGTCAATTACCATAGGGTCGGTGTTTTTTATTTGTGAGATCATTATAGGGTTTGTGTGTTTTGTTAGCAAGCCATACAGTTAACTTCCCATTCTCCATGTTATTCCTTTAGAGGCTCTGAGGGCTTATACGTCTCTGCACAACCCTTGCAGCCACAGTGTGTTACTTTTGGATATCTTATATTTCTTTGCTCTTTTATTGCTATTTAGTTGATATACTGTACTGCACTGTACTGTATCACTATCAATCTATTTACTATATTCATGATTCTGTTATGAATTCGTCTGGCGCTGCCAAATAAACTATTAAAAGTGACATCCTTGTAATGAAGGGGTTAATACCATATGCACATCGACAATGAAGTAAATCTTACCAGTAATAATGCCGTCAGTGATGATCAGAAGGACAAAGTAGTTGTTACCGTCCTGGTGAGCTCTGGCAAACTTAGCCACATGGTTGATAACAGGGGAAAAATTGGTTGGGCCATAAAGACCAACTGGAAAGGAAATGTGTTTAATATTATAATAAACATTATCAATACAATATTTGGGATTGAAAATTACATCCTACTTAATTTGTATAGAGATTTATATACCCTGTAACTCCATAAATGTTTTCAAAATTCTGGTCGACACATAAATGAATATTGCTGGATATACAAGCAGACAATGCAATTGTGTTAATAAATGGACAAGTCCATACCAGTCTGAAGAGAGTTGTGGTAAGCCTGCAGGATCCCTTCCACACCCTGACAATAAGGGTTGTCCATACTTCCATTGAGGAAAAACTCATGACTCACTGTCCAATTTGGTGGTATTCGTCCACCAAATCCCAATGCTGGGAACAGTTTATCTGTAATAGTTAAGAGAATAATTATGCATAAATATATTTTTGAAAATGCACAAAGAGCACTTCACTTAAAAAACTAGAATAATCATATTTGTTTGGCAGGTTTCGAATGCACTAAGGAAAATATTATCCCACAAAAACTTACCTTCTTTGCAACAAATGAATACCTTCATATATCAAAGTTCACAACTAGAACTGTATGATCTAGCATAGAGTCAAGGTATATGTAGGGCAGATATATACTGTACAGGCAAGTAGGAGCAAATAGGAGAGAATATTTATTCAAATCCTCATTAAGTGGTTTACAGTGAGTGTGTGTGTGAAGTATAAAATGATGATGATGACAATTATAAAATATAAAATTGTGATACTGGGGCAAAAGTAATTTGCTATGGTATGTATCCTTTACCAAAGCAAACACAAAATTACACTACTGTATTTGTTCTCTTACCAGAGTCATAATCCTGGATGATTTCTCCCACCGACCTAATTGCCATTGAATATTGATTATCCACTCCAGGATGACGATAATGAAGTGAAGCTTCGCTGCGGGGGTCACCATTTGAAGCAGTAAAGTCGACAGCAACTGTGAAGTGAATCTGTGTCCCACCACGGATGTAGTCAAGGAAAGATGGCTCTACGTGAACAGTGATGGAGTGTAGGGTGAGTTTTCCTGAATCCTTATAGCTAGATTTCTTAGCTTTCTTCTTGGGATTGATGAACTGATAAACATTAGTTGTTCCTGGACCTTCAAGAAGTCTGCAATAATAAGAGTTATGGTTTACTGATTAAAATTTAGGTTTCAAATAAATCAAATATCTGGTTTAAACCATTTCCTAAAAGCAGGATGGGTTGATGATGTATATTACCTCCTCCTTAACCTAAGACTTGGCTGCTTAATGCTGGAAAAATGGATTATTGATCCTGATATCCTGTATCATAACCATGTCAGCATCAGCAACACTGTACAATCAGCAAATCTAAAGGTCATAACCCCATCATGTATTATAAAAGAAAACATCAGAGATGTCTTGCACATCACTGTATCAGAAAAAGAGAGGAGGGATTTTTGTCAGCCTCTATACCCAAAGTAGTGAGTATGCATTTTCAAAATCGCTCCCCCTTTCTTTCAGCTACAGTACAATAACACAATGAATGTACAGTACCTTGAATAACTGATAAAAGTTTTAATTAAATTCAGATATCATAAATACCATCAATGGTGTCAACAATAACTCTCCTACTGAATATACTCAACTGTACTGTTGCCACTCTGAGGTTTTACTTCTTTCATTTACTTGATTATCCCCCAAAATACTCAAGGATAAGTTTATATGCTATTCTATATTATCTTTGTATGAAGGAGGCATCATTTCTGAAAGCATTGGGCTTTACAAGATGAAAGTTTAGCAAAAAGACTAATCCAGGTACAATATCTGAAATAAGGAAATTTGGGGTCCTAAAGTTAATAGCAAATTTTGACAAAAGGATTTTACGCTGGAGTTCATGCTAAATTATATAATCTGGCACACTGCTTACATTGAATATGATTAGAAAATCTCTTCCTGTACTTTATGACTATGATCCGTTACCTTTGAAGGTTGGTGTAACATTCACCGATCAGATCATGAGTCCCATCTGAATCCCAGTCATGACACTCAATCTTAATGCTGCGGTTATGGTCCCCAGCACAGAGGACCCTGGCAGGAACGATGATGGGCTTCCAGGCTGGGTTCAGCGTCTTTTTAATAACTTCAGTCTTGTGCACAGGAAGATACGCACTGTTGTCATTACAGCGGTAAAAAATAAGAAAAGGATCACTCTTTCCCAAAAAGTCCTTTTTGTCCAGATCTGCACCAGATAAGTTCATGGTAACAACCTCCTTTGATGCAGAAGCTTCATCTCCTTGTATCAAAAGGACTCCGCTGCCAGTGATGGTTTTGCTCAGCTGAAATAGAATTTAGGAGCATTGTTATGACTCAGTTGCTGTACTGTCAACTCAGATAGTAATTAAAAAAAAAAAATCTGTGTTTTGATTCCATTTATTGACTCAGAAAACAATACAATACAGGCATACATACTTCAAACTGATGCTGTACAAAGAAGAATAGTAACAAATTTAAATTTCGCTTTTTAATGAAGCAAATATCATTGTGTTGTACTGTAGTATGAAAGACAATGTATCTTATGCACAGGACTGAACAAAAATCTTCAGCACCAATCTGTCTTGCTGGTTAACCACTTCTTAATCATTCTTGGGTAAAGGAAAGTCTTTAATTACTTCTGGTTTGTACAGGGGGGTAATTCTAAACTGTTTGACGTATGAGGATCTGTGATGGAATATATGTGTTCATATTTTCTTTTTAACATATAAGTTTTTACAATTGGCTTAAATGTTTATAAATAAATTTGAAAGACAGGACTGGAAATATCAGTCTCCTCTAAACAACATCATTTTCAGTGATGGAATCAAATCTTCCCAAACAAAATAATTCTTTTTCATACCTGTGACCCCTGGTGACCCATGATTTCTCCCAGAGAGCATTCAACAGTCCCTAAGGTATCCTGGTCTTCTGGATTTGTGCTTTTGGTATCCCAATCAAAAATGGAAAATCGAATCATCTGAAAATATCAAATAGAGTAAAGATATAGTAAAAGGCATTTAGTCAGGGCTCCACTTCAGCTGATAAACAAACTCTGGATTATTTGCTTCTAAAAGATCTAGATTTAAACATATCTACATATCCATTTGCTCATAAATGCCCCACTTTGCAAAGGAACACCTTACTTAGAACATGAATTCATCCCTCTCTCATCCTATTGTAATGTTTGCATTTTTTTCTGGCTAGCTCTAGACGATTAAGCTCAGCTGAGGAAACCCTGCTGGTATTTTCAGAGCGTTACCCTGTGTTGTAATCTCTCCCAACTGATGTACACTTTCTGCCCTTACCCCAAGTATCCTGTCTCCCCCCACTGACAGACACTTACTCCTACACACCTCTCCCTCCCAAGTATCCTGTCTCCCCCCCACTGACAGACACTTACTCCAACACACCTCTCCCTCCCAAGTATCCTGTCTCCTCAGACAACACACCTATCCTGTCCCCCACTGACAGACACTTACTCCAACACACCTCTCCCTCCCAAGTATCCTGTCTCCCCCACTGACAGTCCCAAGTATCCTGTCCCCCACTGACAGACACTTACTCCAACACACGTCTCCCTCCCAAGTATCCTGTCTCCCCCCACTGACAGACACTTACTCCAACACACCTCTCCCTCCCAAATATCCTGTCTCCCCCCATTGACAGACACTTACTCCAACACACCTCTCCCTCCCACTCACTAGTGAATGCTTCAAATTCACATTTCAGAGTTCGGGGTTCACACCTCTGGGAGAGAGGATTGGCAATGCTAAGTTGTAAATGCAGGAGTGGAGCCAACTGTACATGTAATAATAATTAGTAATGTATAACAGTACATTGAATTATTAAAGGTTTACTGTTCTTATCAAAGGAAGCTTGGATGTCCCACTCTGTAAAAGTGGGTTGGTTATAGGAAGGGTATCCAGCCATAAAACTTGCTTCAAATCTGCCTGAAAACAACCACAACACCATATCATCAGGTAATCATGATTTAACCCACATAAGCAAGAAAAATGGCTATAAAATGTGATATTACACATTGCTCATTACACCTAAAAAATTCAATAAATCTTTGAGTGGTGTTCTCACATGCAACAAATAGCATCACTGCAGAATACAGCGCATTAACAAACTCCAAAAAGTTTTGATTAGCGTGCAAATTTATGAACATCCTATACCTGTACATCTATTCAATTAAAAATGAAATAATAAAGAACTACCCCTGTATATAAAATAAACTATTTTGATATTATATTAATTTTAAAAGAATTTGTTACAATAACATTTTGAAACAATTACCTGTCGTTCCTCAAAGCGATATTCCACCTCAATCGTGCGGACCCACTGAGGGTTCAGGCAATCCTTAATCATCTCTGTTCGACCAACCTCATGATAACGATCGTTTCCAGTTTCCTTCATGTAAATGATACACAAAGGATCGCTCTTGCTAAGGGTATCCCGATCTCGCAAGCCTCTAAGAGTTAAATTGTCATTTATTATTTTTGGTTAAACTTTATACATGACTTAAAATTAAAGAACATGGCCACTGTGTTTCTATTATCTTCATAAAATTTGCTTATTGACTGGATATTAATTGGATATAATATTTAAATTATTGTACCAAAACAGTTATAACCAATACTGTATTTAATATTTTCACTTAGAAGCAAATACCTTTAACCACAATATGAACTATCTACTCTGTATGAATAAAAAAATATCTGTATTAAACAGAATACAACTGAACATACTTGGCCTGAATACTCAGCTCCACCTTTGACATAGGGACCATCTGAGGGGGCCCAGGTGGCATTCCCATTGGTGAGACACCTCCAGCCTGCATCCTTCTGCAAATGTAAAGGTCTTTTCATATATGATCAGAGTAAATATTTTAAAAATACAAAATATACATCCATGTTTTCGTTTATGGGTCACTCTAAAGCCTAATTTCTCTTAAGAAAACAACTTTAGGCCGCCTTCACTTAGCCTGTCAATCATTTTACAGCTCCAATCCTTTACTGTATTACAACATACAGTAACCTGTACAGTATATACATTATATACTGTACTGTATAAACTTTAATGTACTATAACAACATACAGTATCCTGTACAGTATACATATACATTATATACTGCATAAACTTTACTGTATTACAACATACAGTATCCTGTACACTCTATACATTATATATTGTATAAACAATCTCCCAAAACCACATCTCATACTTACTTCAAGCTCACTTCATATTATCATCATCATGGATTACACTCTACCTCTGGAAGCATCTACTGTACCTAACCAAACCTACGCTAGCCTAAGGGGATGTTACAGCATTCACTACCTCCACCAACAATGCCAAGCATAAATTCAAGCTATGATTCTTTCACAAGGCATTTCCAGTGCAAATGATCCTTCACAATCATGTACAGTAATATAGTCTTGGGTATTACTGGAGATGACGAACAGAGTTGTTTGATTTCGTTCATTTTTTCCACACTATGTTCTTATCATTATAGTACAGGTACTGTAATTATTTAAAAAAAGGCGATAACTTTTTAATAATAATTACAAGTATTTTTTTGTTTTGTTTTTCTCTAGCTACAAAAATAAATCACCCTGTAATGGGCATGGCAAGAAGGATGAGGGAAATTGTAGGGTAAAACATAGTGAAAAACTGTTCATATGATACTAAAATGATGTCTCTATGTGCTATGTACATGAAGGAATTAATTATTTACTGTAAATACCCATCTGAAAAATCTCCCATTGACGGAGTATGTTATCGTCTCTGTTTACAACCAACCCACTCAGTCCAATCATACTCTCACATCCACAAAAACGTAAAATTACACCATGATGCTTCACAAATTACTTTCATTGGTACTAAATACAGAATCAAAATAAGTTCTTTCTGTTTAATATGGCAGGGGGTCCAAGGGGCAGAGCCCCCTGGCAAGGAAGTTAGGTAAGGTTAGGTAGGTTTCTTTGGTTTGTTAGGTCAGATTCTATTAAGTTGTAGTTGCCTCTTTTAAAGTACTAACTATAATGATAAGAACATCAATGGAAAAAATAAACAAAATTGAACAACGTCTTCTGGTGCAGACGTCTCCTCCAGGATTACCTGGTCTTGAGCAGTATATCTACCATACAGGTTAAGGTTACTGGTTTCTTAATGTTTGTGCAACTGTAATCACTCTCTTTGAATAAAGGACTTTACACATGCTAATTTCCAATGATTAAAGACATTATTTACATCTATACTTTTGCAGATCAAGATAGTGAAGGGGTTCAATGAACTCACTGCATAAATCTCTTAATTTTCTATACAAAGTGAACAAGCTGTGAAATATAACAAGCACATAAAGCAACAAAGTTTTACCTGTAAGGAAAACATTTTTTTAAATACTGTACAGTACTGTACACTAAAAAATAGACAACAAACCGTTTCATTATTACAAGTCTCGAAGTTTAAATGTCAACAATACAACGGGAAAATGATGTGGCCTCTGCTCCTTGTGACTATTAACACGAAACTGAAGCACACAGATATCCAGTTATCTAGTACACAGTAAGCAATCATATCACATTATCATGATAATCTGATAAGGAAATCAGTATTACATCAGATAAGCCTGACCAAACCAAGTACTGTACAGTACTGCACTGTGGAGTAAAAAAAAGTTTTATAATTTTTTTAATTAACAAATGTTCAAAGAAATATTATTTTTACAGTGCAGTATATCATACTCCACCAGCTTCGCATTCTATATTCTGTATAGTATATGTACTGTACTGTACACTACTGTACATGTACACTAAAACAAGTATGCTAGTTAAGATCCCATCAAAAAGTAAATAACTAAATGATGGCAATCATCTCCTTAACCTTACAATTTATTAGATAAGGAGAAATAAATTTCTGTATTGTACGTGAGTGAGTACCTGCACTTCTTTCCAATTTAATAATACTGTACAGTACAGTTCTGTTTTATCAGGATAATCCTTTTATAACATCCTCACTGAGTACAGTTCAGTAAATATGTAGACTGACACTATTGACTTAACCATTTTGCTGCAATTCCCACACTTGCCATTTTATTCTGGCTAACGCCAGACGATTTTATTCAGCTTGGGGTAACCTCCCGCAGCCAATAGGTTAATAATAGCTTGTTTTCTGTGTAGTTTTAAGTAAAATGTTATTTTTGATGCAGACTCCAAACCCGGTGAAGGAGCAAAACAAAAACAAGATTCCTTTTTTTTATGATAAGGCTTATAGCCCATAGCCTCCACACTTTCAGCAAATCCACATAAACCATTACTGAACTATGTCTGATTTTAGCAGGAATGAATTACTGCAGAATTTGAGAACCTGTATATAGTACAGTATTGTACCTGTACAGTATATTCTTCAGTGGTTCATTCCAGCTGAAACCATAGTTCAGTGACTATTTTCATTAATTCACAGCCAAAAAAAAACATGACTAAGTCTGTAGAGACATTCTCAGTAATCAGCAAAATTAATTAAAAATAATATTTGGATTAATATGTAGGACTAACCCATGAGCAAGTTATTTTTATTACTGTTTATTTTCTTACAATATTTTCATCAGTGAGTTCTGATATGATAATCATTTATTGTGATACCCGCCAACACAATAAATAACTTTTCCGCCCGGGCTCTTTAGCGCTGATGCACCCACATCGTCTCACGAACAGAAAATGCCTAAAATTTCACCATATAATCTTAAGTTCTTTCTGTTTAATATACCGGGGGGTCCGGGGGGCCTCCGGTAAGGAAGTTAGGTAAGGTTGGGTAAGTTTGTTTGGTTAGGTTTAGGTCTGTGTTTCATACCCACAAATGTTAAGGAGCATTTATTTTTAATATGAATATCCAATTTTTAACATATTTCCACATACTACAACAGTGTTCAACATAATATAACAGTAAAAATCCAGTGTTTTCATAATTTTTTACAATAAATTTCGCTCATTGGGTTATCCTATATAATTACCAATATTTGTTTGAAGTAGCCTAACCATACCTAACTGAACCTGGTAGATTCCCAAAGAGTATGTACAGTATAGGCTCTGATTCGATAAAACATATTGGGCAAGTGGATAGCTTGAAAAAGTGTATAATTTCTAATATCAACAACAATAATTAATTTACTGCCAATAAATAATATGTGTTGACCAATGTTATGCAAAAACTGGAATTCCATCTAATCAATAAACTTGAATTTTATTATAACTATTAAACTGGCACGTATTTTAAATAACCTTAAGCTCATTAAATTTTTTAGTTTGTCAGTGAAAGACATAATGTAAGACCATATAGTGTGTAATTTCCTTCTCTGCCTCTATGGTAATTCATCTACACTTTTAACCACACACTTCCCCTATTCTTTACAGTTTTAGTTGATTTTGTTGATTAGCTTGACTGATATAATTCACTTGATAAACTGCAATTTTGTCATTTTCCCTGTACAAGAATCTCACCCAGAGTAGTTTGTCTATGACCATTTACATTATACCCTGCTAGTAAATGTATTATGCAATTTCTAAGGTACAATCAGAATAATAAGCCAATATATATATTTTAATGTCACAACCACGCCCACTGACCTGACAATATAGGGAAGTTAGACATAGGTAAATTGAGAAGCTCCTTACGGACATAATCCACTATCTCTTGTTCAGTACTTTGAACATCTTATGAAAATCATTAAGAATAAACATCTGGGAAAGTAAAAATACAGCAACTTACTCGTTTTAAGTCAATAAAGATAAATTAAAAGGACAACTGCACCAGGTCCAGCTACTTCTAATCTCCAGCGTTGTATAAACACCGTAGCCCGTACACGACTGACAATGTTGCCAACTCACAGGTTGTAATATAAATATTATTAATTACCAAATCATACTATTAATATGCTAAATATTATGTAATTTACTATGTTATAACATCTTTCATATATTTCCCCATTTGGCAATCTCCGCATGTAAAAAGTCTTCTGAAAAGTGTCGGTTTTCACCATTTTTGGAAATGCGTAATTTTCACTAGATACCTCAACAGGTCCCTTTTCTACCAAAATATTATTGTCGTAGTGTCCAGTAAATGTGGCCAGCTCTGCACCCGAGATGTATTTTCTGTATCTGTCTCTATCCCTGCTGGCCAAAACACAAATCACGGACAACTGGAGATTCAGAGTTTGGACAACACTGACAGGTGACCGCTGTCACCGTCCTCACTCCTCTTCGACAGAGAGCACAGCAAAGAATGACATTATTCTCAGTCTGGGTGGTAAGGTGTGTTAAGGTTAGGTTAGGTTAGGTCATTTAAGGGAAAGGAAGAAGAGAAATTAAAGAATATCACTATCAGAAAAGAGGATGTTCTTAAGAAGATAAATAAACTAAAGAATACAAAATCCCCAGGGCCGGATGAAATTTTCCCTCGAGTCTTAATAGAGTGTAGGGAACAGATTAGCGGACCCCTCGTAAACTTATTTACAAAATCATTAGACACTGGAGTTGTGCCAGACTTGTGGAAACAGGCAAATGTACAGTAGTACCCATATGCAAAAAGGGAGACAGAGCATCAGCGTCAATTACCGGCCGATCAGTTTGACGTCAGTAGTGGGGAAATTTCTTGAATCAATTATAGCAGATAGCATCCGATCGCATCTAGAGAAAAGCAAATTAATCTACGACTCTCAACATGGGTTTACAAAGGGAAAATCTTGTCTAACAAATCTGCTAACGTTTTTTAGGAAAGTCTTCGAGGTAGTAGATAATGACGAAAATTACGATGTTATTTACTTAGACTTTAGCAAAGCATTTGACAGAGTACCGCATCAGAGGCTTCTGAGAAAAATTAAGGCTCATGGTATCGAGGGGAAAGTTTTAAATTGGATAAAATCATGGCTCACCGATAGAACGCAGAGGGTCAGCGTAGATGGTGTTAAATCTGAGTGGGGCCGTGTAACCAGTGGGGTTCCCCAGGGGTCAGTACTAGGCCCACTCTTGTTCATAATCTACATAAACGATCTAGATACTGGGATCAGCAATGACATAAGCAAGTTTGCGGATGACACCAAAATAGGGCGGCAAATTAATTCAGGGCAGGATGCAAATGCATTACAGGAGGATCTAAATAAACTGCAGGGGTGGTCTGAAAAATGGCAAATGAAATTCAACACCAGCAAGTGCAGCGTACTTAATATTGGAAGAACAAATACTTATAATGTATACAGCCTTAACAACATCAACCTAGAGAAGTCGACTTGTGAAAGAGACCTAGGGGTACTTGTAAGCCCGGACCTACGGCCTAGAAAACAGTGCGTTAATGTTCGAAATAAGGCAAACAGAGTATTGGGTTTTATATCTAGAAGTGTAAGTAACAAGAGTGCAGAGGTCTTATTGCAACTATATCTTGCGCTAGTCAGGCCGCACCTCGATTATGCGGTTCAGTTCTGGTGCCCCTATTATAGAATGGATATAAATTCACTAGAGTCGGTGCAGCGAAGAATGACAAAAATGATTCCGGGACTTAGAAACCTTCCATATCAGGATAGGCTAAAGAAACTTAACTTGCATTCCCTAGAAAGACGAAGAGTGCGGGGAGATATGATAGAAGTATTTAAGTGGGTGAAAGGAATCAATAAAGGGGATATAGATAAAGTTCTTATAATATCCGAGCAGGATAGGACTCGGAGCAACGGATTCAAGTTGGATAAGTATAGGTTTAGGAGGGAGATAGGAAGAAACTGGTTCACAAATAGGGTGGTGGACGAGTGGAACATGCTTAGCAACTCTGTAGTAAGTACGGGAACTCTGGAAAGTTTCAAAAGGAGGCTAGATAGATTCATGGATGATAGAGAGTGGTAGTAACTCTCGACAGGAGCTGCCATGCACAGGCCAACCGGCCTATTGCAGACTCCTTATTTTCTTATGTTCTTATGAGCAATAGGGGTTGAGTGTAAACTGGACTGCCCAGTATGAGCCAATAGGCCCGCTGCAGTTTCCTCCATTCTTATGTTCTTATAACGGTGAGGGTGTGGATGAGCCGGCCGCTAGAGGAGACAACAATCTAGATACACAATATCTGTGGGAGTAGAGAGGGAGAAAAAGGGTGTGTGGAGGCGATGAATGTTGTGCTTCCCTCACGGCAGGTACAGAGTCGTCAGATGCGCCTGCTGGGGTGTGTGGGCCTGGGTCAGGAGCAGGGGCCGCGTCAGGAGGAGCGGCAGGGGGTACTGCTGGGCCGGGGCGGCGTCTGAGGCAGGACGGGTGTGTTGGGGTCGGTAGGACGTGGTGCTTGGGGCAGGAAGAGGAGCGGCTGTCTGCTTAGAGTCGCAGAGCTGCTCTAGGGTGTCTAACCTGCGGTGTAGAGACAGTAGCTGTAGAGCCGATGAGAGCTGCTTCTGTGTGGATAAGCCAGTCTTCCATGTTGCTTGAAGACTGGGAGAGTGATCGGTTTCTCCTCCATCCTGTGTGAGTGCGAATCTCCGGGGGTCACCATTTGTGGGGTGGCTGATGTTTGGGTTCACACTCAGGATGGGATGGAGGAAGGAAACTCACAATGTGCTCTCTGTATACATGTTGTATTGGATGTACAATGCAGCTTGGTGCTGGGAAGGCAGCATGGTTACAAGCGTTGAGTAGAGAGAGCTGGTTGGTGAGGGTGCTCAGAGGAAGACAGCTTGTGGGTCGCCATGCTCGCCGGCGGGAGCGAGGGCCGCCAGGCAGGAGGAGGAGGCGGTGGTGCTTGTTGGTTGGTGTAGGCAGAAAGAGAGGTCGGTCACCACGAGGTCAGGCCTTATATAGTGGAGGTAGGCGTGGCTTAATAGTTGACCTCCTTCATGTAAGGCGGCGCTGGTTGATCTAGACCACGAGGCATACACTGGGGAATTCGTGGGGTCGGCTACTCAGCGACAAACAGCGTTTGTAGGGGAGAAATCCACTACAGGACCAACATTATGATGTGGAGGCTGTGGGCGGTAGGCAGGCGAGCTACTTTTACCTTTATCCTCTCCGCCACTGAATTTGGCTCGTTACACACTGCTACACGCTATAGTATCAATCATTATCACCGACTTAGAACACTGTAGCTTGATCCTAGCTGCTAAATAATACAGTATAAGATCACTTTAGCTTGATCTTAAATGGTAAATAATAACTTGATTTCAGTGTCAATCTTATGCTGGTAGATGTATGTCTATAATAGTTTGTTTACTGGCCCTGTATAATTATTATTAGTTTATGGCATATGATGCTTCAGATTTATCATTTCACCACTTAACAGCTTAGTAGCCGCGGTTCGGGCGGTTAAATTTTTATATTTACTTTTCCTCTTAGCCACTTGTCGGCTTGTTCAGTCTTTATGGAATATTAAAAAATGATAATTATGAAAAAATATTGGAAATGCTTACAAAAGTAAGAAATGCATCCTTGAAAATGGACATAATACAGTATATTTACTGTATTACTAACACTTCGTTACGGCCCATTTACTCAAGTGAATTTTCAAATGTAAACAATACTCGAATAATAGAAGGCAGGGCCAGCTTAAGGTATTTCATTCTTCAAAATATGTCTAATCAATGCACAGCTGCTGACGTCATAAACGTGTCTTATATACCGCGTTCTTATCCTCACCAAAGTTTCCCAGTAGATGACGTCACGTCCCAGGCGGTACACCACCTTGACTCGGTGCCTGAGGCGGAAATTGTGGCATTTCCTCCCTCAGTCTGTGCTTAGTTGTATTTGAACACAGGTGTTGCACCAAACCTCCACTTCTACCTTTACCACACAGTACATTTACACTTTCTACGTGAATTTATCATATTTTATGTACATCTTGGCGAACTCAGACTAAAGAAACATTATCTTATTTACCTACCAAACATGCCCAGGGAAGGAGGTCAATTGCCATTGACCTCCATTGTTCTCGATAGTCTTGTCTAATGCTATCAATCAATAGAGGCTAGTGACAACTGAGAGGGAGGAAGGAGGTTCAGTAGAAGTTTAAAGAACATAGGAATGGAGGAAACTGCAGCGGGCCTATTGACCCATACTGGGCAGTCCCGTTTATACCCAACCCCTATTGCTCATATAAGCATCCAACCTATGTTTGAAGCTATCCAGCGTATTCGAGTTAATGATGATATTTGGTAACTTGTTGCATTCATCCACTACTCTGTTTCCAAACCAGTGTTTACCTATTTCACGCCGAAATCTAAATTTTTCTAATTTGTTACGAGTTCGCTCCTGGTTGGATAGTTTGAGTACCTTCGTAATGTCCCCTTTGCTTCACCCTGACTTCCATTTATACACTCGATCATGTCGCCCCTCGCTCTACGTCTCTCGAGGGAGTGCAAATTAAAATGCTTTAACCTGTCTCTGTATTCAAGGTTCCTAATGCCCGGGATTAGTATTGTCATTCACCTCTGGATTCTTTCCAATGATTCAATATGCATTCTGTAATACGGTGACCAGGGGATGATAGGAGGGAATTTTAGTAGGAGAATTTTTTTTTTGAAGCCCAATGCCGTTCGTGATTCCACAGCTTGGGTTTACTTTTACTTTTTTATCCTCTTCACCACTGATCGGCTCGTTAGCCGCTTGGGCGATCGGTCACGTCTCTGTCACGCACTGTTGGCAAGTACTGGGCATGCACCGGCTCCTGAATGTACTCGGTACCGTCACAACACTTTCTGGTAGATTGTTCCAAGAGTTCACAACCCTCACTCCGAAAAAGTTTGCCCTCACAGTTTTCTGGACTTGCGGCTTCTTCAATCTTGAGCTGTGACCCCTTGTTTGGCGAGCGTCCGCCAGCTCCAAGGACACTTGACTGAGTAGTGCCCCCTGAGAATCTCCGGGGGCACTTATACACCTCAACTACTGTAGGTCGCCCCTTGCCCGTTTGTAGTATAAGCTAGGCAAGTTCAGGTGCTCCAATCTCTCAGGGTAGCTGAGGTGCCGAAGTGCAGGCACCAGTCTGGTGGCCCTCCTTTGAACATTTTCAACTAACTGACAGTCCCTGGTATATCTTAGGGATTTCTTGTAACAAAGAATAATGTCCAAAAATATTTATTTATGTTCTGCATAATCTTTACATGGACAACATATTTCGACAACATACACTAAGCATCCAAAATTATTTAATGTTACTCAAAACTGGAAATAATCTTTCATACGGCTTAAGGCTTTAAATCACTCTTATGATAATGACAGTTTTGCTTAAAATACCTGTACCAACTTATCACCTAAAACTTTTCGAAAGTATTTTTGTTGTTCTATTTTAGAACCTTTGCTATGTTGGTTTATGTACGTAACTCTAGATATTAAGGAGAAATGTATACACTAATTATCATTTTGCAGTTTATTTCACATTAACGAATACTTGTCCACTTTGCTTACTGGGAATGTATCTATTATGATCATGAATAGTCGACTTCTACAGATGTCGCGCTGCTTTTCAGTGTGTACTCTTCCGTTACCTGTGATGTTTCTGGCCATTTTCTTACTATTTTCCTCTGTCTTAAATTGAACTTGCTCTAACAGTTGATAAATTTCTTTCCACTTCGTAAATTTATAAGCTGACAACACTATTCTTATTGATGACTGTTTTGCTGACCTCTGTAGCAACTAGTTTTATTTTTGTTTTTATTCATTAAGGAATAGTGTTCTCTACTGATGATTATTTGTAGCGCTCGTCAGACAGCATGTCGGGTGTAATGTCCATATTTAGTTAAAATATTGAGACTAGAGAGAGAGAATGTGTAAAGACAAGTACAAGCTCTTCAAGTAGTTGACTTTTGAGGATAGATTAATAATGCTACATTTACCAACACTTGCTTATATTTTGGAAACTTATTGAATATTGCGCAGAGTTTATGATGACGTATGTGAGGATGTATTTTTTTTAAAGAACCCGACTTAACAGAGATAAAAAAAAATGTCTGCAGTCGAATTGTAAATAATATTTATTTGCCATCGTATGTCAGTAATTCAATAAGTTGGTAATTTTGAAGAAAAAAATATTTAGATAAAACGCGGAAAATCATCAGAAGACATAATTATCAAGCAAAATTCATAGGACAACAGCATTCTCGATTATATTCTTTATGACAAATCAGACGTTGGAGACAGGCCTGAGATTCTCTTCCAGAAAGGACTGTAGTGGATGTCATGTAACCCTACAGGACATCTGTAAATATATATATTTTGTTTCTTTTCTTTACCTAGAACACTATTCTCGTGGGATAACTTTCCTGCATCTTCCGGTGGAACATTATTTTTCTTGGTGTCATCTTTGTTAGCAAATTCCCGTTTTATTTGTATTATTAATGCGTTTGTGGGTGACATCTTTCCCCTGTTATTAAATGTCTTTGGGATCCGTCTCCTCGTCATTTAACACGAAGAATTTGACACTCTTCAGCTCTTGCTCGCCATAATTGGTGAAGATGGTGTGTCTCGTCCAGTTCACGAAGTATGCCACCTCCGTGTACACTCCGGGGAAGCCCTTGGTAGCGCACCCGATGCCCCACGACGTGATCCCCGCCAACCTGCACGACCCTACCTTCCTGGTCGACTCGCTGCAGCACACCAGTGGTCCTCCGGAATCACCCTGAAGAAAATATACTACATTTGAATGTGTTGTTAGCGACAGCACTACAAGGAAGGTCGTCCAGAGCGAATCTGGATGCACAAGAGATGAGACTAGTTGGAAGAACACTTAATGTGCAACCTGTTATCCAGAAACACCTTACAGATGACTGACAACTCAAGTGTGTTTTTTTATGATATAATAAGAACGGAGGTTATCGCAGGAATCTCCACACTAAAGCACTGGAGTTCTACAGATGCCCTAAGGAAAAAAACTACAGAAAACGGATGTTGTCATTTGTTGTTGTGTTGTACAGTGGTGGAGTGCAGTCACCATACGAGAGGAAATGACATAATATGAGACTGAGTGTTACCAAGGATTCTTAGACTGTCGGAGGATAGCTCACTAATTGCTTAAAAATTTTATCCTCTGCGACGGTGGCGTCGCCAAGCGGCTGGAGAGTAAAAACACATTAAGCACATTGTATTGCGCTGTACATAATATTGTGCTAAAACACCAGATTATTCAATAAACACAATTTACTGTATATATAGTCAGTAGGTTATTGACATCCAACTTTAGATATCATGGGATAATTTCTCAAAGCAACACATCGATTACTTTGCAGTAAAATATATTAATTTGCCGACTTAAGGGTGTAAGGGAATATTCTCCCTTCTATTCTTCAGTAAGAGCGATGGTGATAGCTATAGCTTTACACCAGTTTTACACCATTTGGGTCTTTCCAGTTTCATGTACCATGTCCTCCCCCGCCCTGCCCCCCAAAAAAATTCTGAATGTAGATTTTCCGGTTGATTCCATATATATATATATATATATATATATATATATATATATATATATATATATATATATATATATATATATATATATATATATGCTGATAACCACAAGGAAACAAGAAAACACGAAGTTCCCAAGCGTTTGTTTCCTTGTGGTTATCAGCATATACTTGATCACGTGCACCTACAGTGATTTACTTGCATATATATATATATATATATATATATATATATATATATATATATATATATATATATATATATATATATATATATATATGCTGATAACCACAAGGAAAGAAGAAAACACGAAGTTCCCAAGCGCTTTCGTGTAATTCACATCTTCAGGGGTGAGTACAGACTAGAGAGAGTAATACAAATCAAGGTGTATATATACAGAGGAGGGTGAGACCAGGTCCACAATGGTCAGGTATTAGGTAATGACCCTACTAATCTTTAAATAGCACACAACGGTTGGTGGTCAGGTCAGATGGTCAAGTGACCCGGCCTTCTCACCTGATCACAAATCTTCTTAATTACAAAATTGTCCAGCTTGTACATGCCGTTACTCAAATTCATGTTGAATGCTTCGGTATGTTTAATAAGACTAGATTCTATGATGTTCCTACTATCAATTGAATTACATGGTAATATTGAGGAGGCATTATCCCAGTCAATGCAATGCTTGTTATCCCTCAAATGAACAAACAGAGCATTGGATTCCTGGCCTGTCCTAACACTGTATTTGTGTTGTTTAATTCTAGTTGTAAGATCTTTACCTGTCTGGCCTAAGTAAAACATATTACATTCCTTGCAAGGAACTTTATAAATGCAACCAATTGTGTTGTTGGGGGAGTTCTTGATTAACATTTGTTTAACAGTGCATGAGTTTTTAAATGCCGCATTGACGTTCCAGGTTTTTAGCTGTGCAGGAATGTGTGAGAAATTTTTGTGAAATGGTAATATTAAGATATTCTTATGGTCATGGGTGGGCTTGGGATCAGTTCTATAAAAAGTTTTCTTAGTAATGTTTAAGCATTTGTCTATGAAAGATCTAGGGTATTTAAGGTTTGAGCCAATATTATATATATATTTGTATTCCTCATCGATGAATTCCGGACTGCAAATTCTCACTATAATTATATTGAGTCATATAGGGAGATAAAAAAATATACATTTCCGTCGGAAATGTATATTTTTTCGGGTATTTTAATATAAAAATACCAACAATATTACATGTACTGTACTTGAATCAGTGCATAGATCACTTTCGTTTAATAATTATATAGAAAATGAATTTAATATTCAGAAAATTTGATAGCTTGGCAGTAGTGAAATTATTTCTACTTTGCGAATTTGTATGGGGTCGCAGTTGTCTCGTTAATAAATACTGTATTATTATCCAAGCGTAAATCACCATTCTATTTTTTTTTATTGACAGATAGGAAGCTGCAGTAGTATTGAGCAAGATACATGTGCGTGTCAAATTTCATGACAGTATAGCTAAAATTAAAACAAAAGGGAAAATCTGCTTTTTTTTTTAAGGGAATTAGCCCACCCGGGCACAGGCCGAACGACTCGCAACGGGGCCTAAGGGTCAGACATTTGACAGCCAGGTATCGATAAGGCAAAACTGTGTTATTTCCACATTCGTGAGGGTACTTAATACCGTACTACAAGTTTGATTTTCCATAACAACTTTAAAGTGACTGATACGAACATACATAACTTTACATTATATTCAAGTGATTTTTAAGCCACGCCAACATACTGCCTAAGAACAGTGAACAATGCTTATACTGAAGATGCTGATGTGTTAGGAAAGCAGATTTACACTACTTATTAATCATTTCAAATGTTTATGGTCTGGGGAGAAAAATATCTCTCAATCTGTCTTAAAAATATACAAAATAGCACCTACACAAACTTAATTTGGTTCGATTTTCTCTTCATTGTCGTTTTGGTGATAAAACTTATCGCAATGAAGATTTTTGTTTGATTTTTCTTCGGTGGGATTGTCTCATGTAGATTTTACTTGTAAGGTTTTCGAGTAAGTGTTTGTTAGGCACAATTAAGGCTCTTACCTGACAGGCGTCCCTTTCTTCCCCACCGGCGCACAGGTTACTGGAGTACACGGGATAGTTGTGTTTGGAGAACTTCTTGATGCAGTCAGCGTCGCTCTTCAGCTTTACCTGCACCACACAAAAAGTAATAATCTTTAGATATATTTCGCAGCGTAATAGTCTAGACTTTAGAGTACCAGTTTAATTGATGTGTACTCAACATGTGGCTTTATCTTCATCGACAATGTATTTTTGTTCTCGTTCAATCACTTCCAAACAGTCTGATCTTTCTGAACATCAAAAAATCAGAAATATTAACATGTAAAGGGTATTCTTGCAACAATGGGTTTTTAAACTTTGCACAGGTAAAACAATGAAGGATGTCTATTTATTTACTCACATAAGGTCAAATGGTCTACGGTGGTAAATCACATCAGAGGGAAAATCAGAAAACTAGATAAAATAAAAGACGAATACGTACGTCAGCAGCGAGGAGAATGTGTGGTAGATTGCCTGATTGCGCCACCTTCCCCCATCCGGAGATCGTACACCGTTGACCTATTTCAGCCTCTTTACGTGTCTCCAAGGCGATGGGTACTCCGCCATGGCCAGCTAGTCGGGAATAAAACGAGAGGTCTGAGTGTACCAGTCTAAAGGGAGATGAAAAAATTACAAGCGTGCGCAAGGGAATCGGAAACGCCATTAAGATTCTAGAGGTAGAGCGAAGTTACTCTGATCTGGTGATATTTTCGAACTTTAAACGATATTTTAAACAGTTTATCTCACATTAGATATATTAAATAGTTCAGAAAGTGGACCATCAACAAATATACCAACAATCAGAATGAAAAACGAACAAACTCATGGATAAAATTGGTCAGATACTTGCAGCTTCATCAGAGATCAAAACGTATATTCAGAACATTAATTATAAATTCTACAAGAAACGTAATTTTTTTGAGGAACAAGTTGGTTTATATGTAATGTACTGTACCTCTGGCATCAGGGTCCATGTTATCGACTTGGAGCTTGAGGAGAGCGATATCATTAGAGAAGTTGAGGGGGTTGTACGGTGCGGGGAACACATTCGCCACCCTGTACTTCCTGTTGTTCTCTAACAGATCCCACGCTCCGGTCACCACCTTCACATAGTTGAAACTGACAAACACGTAATAATAAGTATGTTATCGGCTATTTTAGGTTGCTGTCGAGGCGTGTTGATGGATGTAAAAAAAAAAAAATAACCACACCTTCCTGGAGAACAGATCAAAAGTCAACACACATTAGGTGAGAAAAGCATTATGTTACACTAAGTACCTTTAGTAAACGTAGGCATTATCACGTTTTATTATTCTTATATGTCTTCAGGAGTCATATGAGAGGGTTCAAAGTTGACTCATATTGTGCTTGGAACTTACATGTGCCTGTGTGTGTGCACTGTATATGACGTTTGTATAGTATGTCTTTGGGCTTGAAAATCAGTATCAAGCCAGCTTAAACATCTAAAAATAAAAAGGTATGTTAGGAACTATGTACCTGCCCAATACATTCACGCTTTTGTGATAAATTCAGGGGGATAAAGTTGACCTAACACTGACTTTTAAGTGCATTTTAACATGGTAAAAAACTTTTTATGCAGACGAATTCCAGAGTACGGTAACTAAATTGCAGTAGCCTAATCGTTTTATAAATATTGACGTCTGTAATCGTATATATTTTAGATTAATATTTTTTTTGGTGTGTGTGTGTGCGCGCAGAGCTAAGTGGTAAAAAATACATAATGTGTAGTATGAGGAATGGATAAGACACTCACTCAATATTTACGGTGCAGTGGGCGGCGGTGAGCACTAAGGACGGGGAGATGAGAGTACCCCCACAGAAATGTCGGCCATTGAACTGTAACGACACCTGCCACTGGAACTCACCTGAACCATCCCAGGTCATAGAGAGAAATAGAGGCACAAGGGAAATATATTATTTACTTCGATCACTGAGGCTAAGTGTCTTTCTAGTATGTGAATGTGTAACAAATTTCATCGTTAATTCTTAGAGAGTTTCTTTAGTAAACATTCTTTTTTGTCTGTCTCATTATATTTTTACTAATAAAAATATTACACTGCCTTTGGTCGAGGTGGAGGTCAAACTTAAAAACCTTTGCGTGTCAGTCAGTATTACAAAATAGGAAGTCATCATTTTGGTGGTTTTAAATCGTCAAATACAGTACTACGCCTCAAAGGGCCAATGAATGACCTTGACACTTAATTATAACCCTGACACTTAATACATGGCAACCACATTTACCCGCCACACCTGACACACACACACACCTAACAGCTACTATACCTCTTACCTCGTTTCACAGGCTCCCCGCCCACTATACGATCTGGTCGCGCCAAGTCCCTCGGAAGCTGGTGCTTGTGGGTTTTCTGGGCGGATTCAACACCTACGGTCACTGCAGCCCACACCCATAACACTCTTGAGAGCGACCTCATCACTCTGCTGGTAAAAGGCGTATAGGTTATAACAGAAAAACACTTTTGTTTCAGAACACACGTTAAAGAGATTCTAATACCTAACCTAACACAAGGATTCTGAGACTACTGTATAGGCAGATAGCTCACTCCAATGGGTGAACGCGTTCATCTCCCACCCCCCCCCCTGCCCTATGGCGCCGCCAAACGGCCGGAGAGTAAACAAAATAATTACTTTACCAGGCAAGGAATAAGGGAAGAAGACGAAAAATTCGGCGAAATTTAGCCTTTCTATTTTTTTTGTTTGCCAGCTGCAATAGGACTCCAGTGCTGTGCAGCTATTAAGTGTTCTACCAATTCTGTAAGGAACAGAAACCTGTTTTTATATAGGTGTACGACTCGTACACCTACTACTGTTCATTAGTTTTATGAGCTCTTTATTTGATGCATTTAGTATTGATAGCATTTCACTCTTCAGAACTGCTAGTAAACATCAGAGTATCATTAGGATATATAAGATGAGCAGGATACTGTTGTATTGTCGAAAAAGGCTGGAACTTTGAAGTTTTGGGTCATTATTCGTTTAAGGACCACCCACAACTTTTTGGACGAAATTATGTTCTTCCTCTATATTTCGATGTGTTTTGACTGGATTTCACACTCATTTCTTAGGCAAATTGTGTGGTAAAAAAAAAATAACCAAACCTAACCTAACGAAACCTGACCTAACTTTACCTAACTTACCTTTACGTAACGTAACGTAACCTAACTTGTCTTGGGAATTTTGTGTAGTTTCATGAACAAAAAAACCCGGTTAAGAATCAGTAAAGTACAACCAATGGAAATTCTGTAGCCTAAGCAAAGGACCCTATATTCATGCTGAACTGTATACTGTATCTGCATACCTTTATACATTACACCTGCATAGCTTATGCCGTATACATGACAATTCCAACTTGGGATAATGCAGCCTGATCTTCAAATATTTTCCACTGTATGAGACTGATCTTATAATCTACAGTCTTAAATTTCCAGCAATACATCGGTAGTTATGTAGTTTTGAAGCTGTACTGTACATTTTTTTAAATGTTGGTCATCAATAAACTAGCGAGCACCATATAAGATGTGAAATAATGGTGACACAGCCACTCTGTTACCAACTTGTAAATACTGTGATGTTCTTTATATCACTTTTAAAATGGTAGCCTGTTAAAGAAAAAACTACAATAAAGTGCATTGGTTAGTTGTTTGTGATATCTTATTCATATTAAATGGTGTGACTACTCCAGGCGAGGAAGCACCTCACTCTTGAACATAAGAACATAAGAAAATAAGGAGTCTGCCATGTGCATGACAGCTCCTGTCGAGAGTTAGTACCACTCTCTATCATCCATGGATCTATCCAGTCTCCTTTTGAAACTTTCCAGAGTTCCCGCACTTACTACAAAGTTGCTAAGCTTGTTCCACTCGTCCACCACCCTATTTGTGAACCAGTTCCTTCCTATCTCCCTCCTAACCTAAACTTATCCAATTTAAATCCGTTGCTCCGAGTCCTATCCTGCTGGGATATTATAAGAACTTTATCTATTTCCTCTTTATTGATTCCTTTCACCCACTTAAATACTTCTATCATATCTCCCCGCACTCTTCGTCTTTCTAGGGAATGCAAGTTAAGTTTCTTTAACCTATCCTGATATGGAAGGTTTCTAAGTCCCGGAATCATTTTCGTCATTCTTCGCTGCACCGACTCTAGTGAATTGATATCCATTCTATAATAAGAGCACCAGAACTGAACCGCATAATCGAGGTGCGGCCTGACTAGCGCAAGATATAGTTGCAATAAGACCTCTGCACTCTTATTACTTACACTTTCTATATAAAACCCAATACTCTGTTTGCCTTATTTCGAACATTAACGCACTGTTTTCTAGGCCGTAGGTCCGGGCTTACAAGTACCCCTAGGTCTCTTTCACAAGTCGACTTCTCTAGGTTGATGTTGTTAAGGCTGTATACATTATCAGTATTTGTTCTTCCAATATTAAGTACGCTGCACTTGCTGGTGTTAAATTTCATTTGCCATTTTTCAGACCACCCCTGCAGTTTATTTGGATCCTCCTGTAATGCATTTGCATCCTGCCCTGAATTAATCTGCCGCCCTATTTTGGTGTCATCCGCAAACTTGCTTATGTCACTGCTGATCCCAGTATCTAGATCGTTTATGTAGATTATGAACAAGAGTGGGCCTAGTACTGGCCCCTGGGGAACCCCACTGGTTACACGGCCCCACTCAGATTTAACACCATCTACGCTGACCCTCTGCGTTCTATTGGTGAGAGGCATGATTTTATCCAATTAAAACTTTCCCCTCGATACCATGAGCCTTAATTTTTCTCAGAAGCCTCTGATGCGGTACTCTGTCAAATGCTTTGCTAAAGTCTAAGTAAATAACATCGTAATTTTCGTCATTATCTACTACCTCGAAGACTTTCCTAAAAAACGTCAGCAGATTTGTTAGACAAGATTTTCCCTTTGTAAACCCATGTTGAGAGTCGTAGATTAATTTGCTTTTCTCTAAATGCGATCGGATGCTATCTGCTATAATTGATTCAAGAAATTTCCCCACTACTGACGTCAAACTGATCGGCCGGTAATTTGACGCTGATGCTCTGTCTCCCTTTTTGAATATGGGTACTACATTTGCCTGTTTCCACAAGTCTGGCACAACTCCCGTGTCTAATGATTTTGTAAATAAATTTACGAGGGGTCCGCTAATCTGTTCCCTACACTCTTTCAAGACTCGAGGGAAAATTTCATCCAGACCTGGGGATTTGGTCTTCTTTAGTTTATTTATCCTGTTAAGAACATCCTCTTTTCTGATAGTGATAGTGACAGATCATCCATATATCTAAAGCACCTTCTCATAAGACATACTAGTTTCGTTGCCTGATTCACCTTCTCACAATGGCCCGAGAATTTGAGTTCATTGTCGACACACACACCCAAGTCCTTTTCACATTTAGTCTCAATTACTGCAGTCTCTTCTTCCTGTTGGGACATGTGATACGCCTCTTTACTATTGGTGCGACCTATAGGTGTAGGTGCATCCATTTGCATTTCGTGACATTGAATCTTAGCAGTCATTTCCTCGACTATTCTTGAAGCTCATAGAGATCTTTCTGCAGCTCTTCACAGTCTGTTTGGTACTTAATTTCCCTAAATAACTTAGCATCGTTCGCAAACATTTGTATGGAGGAGTGTATAGATTCTGGCATGGCATTAATGAAACAGACAAACAACAACGGGGCCAATACACTGCCCGGTGGTACCCCGCTAGTCACGGGTACACACATGACGATTTCGTCCCATTTATCACCACGCACTGTTTGCGGTCACACAGAAAGTCTCCGATCCACGCTAGGACACTTTACTGAATGCCGTACACTCACGTGAGCAGACTTTTTCTCCTTGGACCTTGAAAATAAGCTGGCAGCTAATTTTTAAGTAATTTCCTTTCGCATATATTTTGTCTAGGGAAACCTACAGGTAAACAGATAGACTGACAGACAGAGCCTAGCCTATCGTTCTCAGAGTTGGGGGTAACACAGTTTATCTTTGTTTTACGTTCTTGAGCGGAAGTTGGGACGGTTGTGTTGATATATACTGTAGAGGAGGTGTGCGTCTTATGTTGCTTGAAAAAGATAAACTTCCTCTATTTTGATGGATTGGGTAAGACTGAAGTGGACCAGGTGATACGGACACCTGTGTGGAAGACGGCCCATACTACACGTGGGTGTGTCGGACTGTAAGGACTGTTCCAACACCTGCGTCACCAACCACCTGGTCACCACAGTCCGCACCAACCAAGGTCTTTCCTGCTAAGCAGATGTGTGAACTATTAAGCCACACTTTTTTAAATATAATTGAAAAGGTGTCTCTGTATTGATCCACCTAAGGCTACTCTTTGATAGGATATAATGTTTTTTGTTTGTTATCAGAAGAAAAAAAAACTAATGTGCGCTCGCTGAGGGAGGTCGGATGTAAACACGATTCACGAACTACTTTTAAGAGTTAGGTAATCTTTTGTAAATGTCCAATCAAGTTAAACTGGAGCTTATCACCAAACATATGTGAAGAAGAATAAATAACTTTTAAAAGTATTAGAAATAAATTTTTGTGTCAAGTCTAACTAAAGTGAAATCCTTTTGGTATTAATTACTCCTTAGGAAGAACATCTACTTACCTGTACATTCCCGCAAATGGTCATCGAGGTTTGAAAACTACATGTAATCGTGAGTGTTAGATTAAGAAAACATTTTCGTAAAATTCATATCAAATTTCGATAAGGTTCCAAAAATATTAGTTTGAAATTAACATGGGGTTAACAACATAAATAAATGAGGTAGTTTAGGATTAATAATGATGACCTGTGGTGTAATGCTAGCCTCGCAAACCAATGGTTCCGGGTTTGTTTCCCGGACAGGGTGAAAATGTAGGCAATTTTTTTATGCCATTTGCCTCTGTCTACCCAGCAATAATTGGGGACCTGGATGTTAATTGATTTGCGGATCGAGTTCCGGGGTCATAACTTTAATATAAAGTGACAGATATATTTGGGTACGGAATTAGGTCCTATAGCAGTTTGGATACAGCAGATACAAAGTCTTTGGTACACAAGGAGCCAGTGTGGTTGGCATTGCACTCGGCCACCTTTACCTCCCCAACTTTAAAGTTAGGTACCCATTCACAGCTGGGTTGAATATATAGAGGTGCCCTAGGCGAGAACCAACGACCCTTGGGACAGGAAAGAACTGTATGCATGTAGCCGTTGAACTTGTTTTGTTTAAATACTGAGTGACGTAATGCTGGGTGGGTAAAGTTTGTAATATAAGGAGAGTGGATCAGCTGTAAGAGGAATACGTGCAGCAAGTGTAGCAGGTGTGCGTGTAGTTATTGACTGTGATCACTGTGCTGGAAATTAAAGATATTTAGCTGACCTGGAGTGTATTCATCGCTAACTGCTGACCTGGCCAGGATGATCACACTCACCACAAAGACGTTCCTGACGAAGTGAACCTGAATCTTTAGTCAACATGAATAATCTCTTTTAATACCCAATAGATTATAAAGAACATAATTTTAACAATGTTTGTATATAGGCTATTTGTAGGTCTTTTTTATTGATACAGTAATTTTGAGTTATCTGATCATTAAGATAAGAAAGTAATAAAAATTTATCATTGGCACGAAAAATATAATGGAAAATGCGTATTGGGTTGACTCGACCAATGAAGGTGCCAGCATCGTATCTGAGGGTTGGCGATCTTGGCCCTCCAAATATTTTCACGACGTCTCTACCAATCTTCTCAGTGTTCTCATCTCACCATTGCCTTTCCCTGGCCTTCCTACCCCATCTTTCACCCAAATCATCCTTAAAGGACAAAGACATCTCATTTTCCTTATTCTATAAATTTACGGTCTACCTTTTCTCATGTCTTAGTAGGCTATTACTTCGTTTGTTTTTATTCCATTGGCGGTAATCTTTAGCGCTCGCTAATGCCTTCAGCCTCCTTCTGGAGTCAGCTGAAATTGTCTACACTTCTGACCCAGACAACAGTTCTAATCATGCATGGCATTTCAGCAGCCACTTTCCTGAACAAAAGATAATGTCCATAATAAGTAATCTTTAAGAATATTAAAAGGCGTCTTGAGTAGGATTCACTTGGACAAGTGATTATGTGGTAACCCAGGGCACACTGTAAACGTCTTTACAGACACAGTAAGCACAGTATACCACTTCTCCAAAGCTTGTATCATTCTCTACTAAGGATAATCTATGATCAACTTCATAATAAACTTCAATATCTGGCAGTAGCCTTTACCACTCTTATTTATCTTAACCAAAAATATGGCCAGAATCCCGCGTTGACACTAATGGTTATTGTTATGTCATGATTTATTTTCAGTCTAACAAAGGACTATGGGCTCTACTAGCCTATACTATAGACGAGCAAGTGGTGACTTTAGCACCTCAGAGGACATTTCTCAGTCGAGTGTTCATACCCGGAACTAGCGGATGTCCGCCCCACTAGAAATCAAAGCCTCTGGTTAAAGAAGGCACAAGTTAAAAAACTGACAGGGCATTTTTGGGGGGGGGTGGAGTGAAAAATAAGCTCTTTTGAACAATCTGCCAGAGAATGTTGTGACGGCACAGACTTAACCAACACTGGTGCAGGTACAGATACATTCAGGAGCCAGTACTTGCCCGGAACTCACCAACAGCGCGTAACAGAGACGTGACCGACCGTCCAAGTGGCGACTTAATATAACTACTGTACAGTAGTTTTTAATTGGAAATTGGAATTCCTCGTTTATAAATGGCATTTAGTCTGTAATTATTCTTCAGCAGCCTGATGCACCTTCACTTTCTTGTGACTTCAGTATTTCTCAAATGAATTTCTCGTTGGTTTATCATCACAGTCTCTCAGTACTAAAAAGGCAAGCTCTTTTCTTATTCAAGGGTAACTTTTGTTGTGGATTTAAACGATCCCAGATTTCCTTTCACTCGTTTTCAAATTATCTTTTGTTAGTATCGGCATTTAACCACTTGCTTAACGTCACAGTCACTGTCTTAACAAAACCCACTTAAATGGCGTTAGCTGGGGCGACCTTGACACTGATATGACGTTATTCGTGGCGAACTTCACAATCCCTAAAGTAACGAGCTGATGTCCTCACCTGAGAGGAGTGTCGGCAGTAGGGAGAGATCGGAGTTCTTCGTGACGGGAGGCGGAGGGAACTGCGCCAGTCGTGGCCAGATCACTAATGAACCTCCCTGCCTGTGTGTAACACCTGCACGTCGGCCACCCCAACCTATTACAACTATGACTCTCACAACTAATCCCAGCCACACACACACACACCTGTCTAATGCACCTTATCCTTATCTTTATATCTCCTCCATTCATCCCGATAATATGTCAAACACAACACCCTGCTCATACACCTTATACCGCCCAAACACCTTATCCCACCCATACACCTTATCCAACCCATACACCTTATCCCGCCCATACACCTTATCCTGCCCATACACCTTATCCAACCCATACACCTTATCCAGCCCATACACCTTATCCTGCCCATACACCTTATCCAGCCCATACATCCCGCCCATACATCCAGCCCATACACCTTATCCTGCCCATACACCTTATCCCCCATACACCTTATCCTGCCCATACACCTTATCCTGCCCATACACCTTATCCCGCCCAAACACCTTATCCTTCCCATACACCTTATCCAACCCATACACCTTATTCCGCCCATACACCTTATCCTGCCCATACACCTTATCCCGCCCAAACACCTTATCCCACCCACACACCTTATCCTGCCCATACACCTTATCCTGCCCATACACCTTATCCCGCCCAAACACCTGCCTCACAACCCTCATCCCACTCACGCACCTTACACTTGACACCCACACACTTGCTTCACCTCTCACACCCTCCACACCAGTTTGAATCACCTCACCGCACTCATATAGATAGATAGATAGACAGATAGATAGATAGATAGATAGATAGATAGACAGATAGATAGATATAATTCATATTAGCCTTTACCACCATACACATAACCACAGCTCACATATATCACACGAATTGGTAACAGCGGTGTTTACATATTCCATTCACTACTACATACTTTACTACAAGTTTCATAAGTTTACATTAATGGAGTAAAAGTGAAGACAAAAACAAAATAAGAATTATCTACCGATGAACGGCCTGAGTAGGAAGTAGGCTAGGGGACGGAGCTTCATGGCGTCATCAATCGCCTCATTTCAAAATCATAAGTGGTGACATACAGTATTCATAGTCGCGTACACTAATATGACTTTGGCTTCTCTCCACAGAATGACAGATATTCTTACGCGTGACGTCAAATGCAGTAGGTGGTTAATATGGCCTGTCGTCTGACCAACCTTAGATGAAGAACAAAAAAAAAACATCACTTCAGTTTGACGAGTATAAAGCATAATAACAGTATGACGAGCGCAGGTCCATCCCATATAACTTTAAAAAAAGTGAGATGTTTTGCCGTTTGGAGTACTGTCATCCCATCTGATCTCCGAGATATGTTAGAAACTGTCTGTTGATTGAGAACGTTCAAAAGAAGGTCCCCAGACTGGATGCGCGCCCCACAAGAGGTCACAGCCACAGGTTGAAGAAGTCACAAGTTCAGAAAATTGTCAGGACAAACATTTTTGGAGTGAGAGATGTGAACTTATGAGCTCTTAGAATAACCTGTCAGAAAGTGTTGTGATGGCACCGAGTGAGCTCATTAAGGCTAGACTTGACTGGCGCAGGTACAGATACATTCAGGAGCCAGTACTTGCCCAGTACTTGCCAACAATACGTAACTTTCTGTCACCAGGTAGCCTCTGAGTTATCAGACTATCGACCCGTACCCCTATTACTGAGACACCGAATATAGAATGGTACTACATTAACACTATTTCAATATAAAATGGTAGTGTTAAAACATACTTGGTGCTTGTGGAGAGGCTACTTTCCATATTGTAAATAAAAGATTAAATTTATATCACCTCATGAATTATAAATGGTGAAATCAGTA